AACAAAGGAGCCCAAGCCTGTGCTCCAGGACACAAGCCTAGTGATCTCTGGGCAGAATTCAAAGCCCCAGGCTTGTTCTGAGCTTGCATAGCTGGGGCTGAGCTCAGAGGGACCCTGATCACTCAGTGAAGACAAGGGTTTGCAGACTCTCCCCTGACAGCAACCCCTGGATGACTCTGGGAAGGCCAATTAACATTGTGAGTCTCTAGTTTCACTGCTTTAACCTTTCAGGTGGGGGTTAGAGCAGCCTCCACCTCACTGTGAGGAAGGATATGGCACCGTGAATTCAAGATTATTGTAGTTACTATTGTGGTGAATGTTTCCTCCTGGGCGGGAACATTTCACCAAAGAAGGTAGAGGTGGGGAAGTGAGTCCAAGATAAGGTCTTCAAGGCCCACCCGGCCCTCTGACAGATAGAGGTGGCTCTATCAGGTCCAGACTGAATGGCAGGACTGATAAGGCCTGGCCCTGTCCTAAGGGACCTAGGCTGGGAGGAAGGGTCAGGAGTTTTGGATTCAAAGAATCCACTTCTCTTCAAAACAGTAGGTTACAAAAGAGTTTTGTTCTGTTTTTTTTAAAGATTTTATTTATTTGCTTTTAGACAAAGGGAAAGGGAGGGGGAAAGAGAGGGAGAGAAACATCACTGTGTGGTTGCCTCTTGTGTGCCCCGCACTGGGGACCTGGCCCACAACCCAGGCATGTGTCCTGACTGGGAACTGAACTGGCGACCCTTTGGTTTGCAGGCCAGCGCTAATCCACTGAGCTACAGGAATCAGGGCTAGAAAAGAGTTATTTAAATTTAAAACGAGGACCTAGAGGTGTGGGGTGTTTGCAGCAAAGGCTTTGAGGATGTACTCTGTGCTGTGAGGAGGTTGGCCCTGGGCACATCATTATCCAGGAGACAGTGTGAGAACCTTCAAGCTAAGACTATACTTTTAGAGACCATCTGCTCCCAGTCCTGGCAGTGGTGGGGAACCTGGGGCCCAAAGCATGGCTAGCCTACCTTGGAGCCCCTCTGGCTGCCAGTACCAGGCGGGACTGGTCAGGAGTGACGGGAGCTCTGATTTCTGTAACAGCCCAATGAAGTTGACAAATGTAGACACTGAGGTGGTGCTGGTGAGGATGGAGTGGGATTCAGACATCTGCTTGCCCCAGTCCAGCCCTGTACACTCCTGCACCTGAGTCCTGTGAAGGCAGCCTGAGAAGGAATGTATTGAGAACCGCCGTGTGCCAGGATCATGGTGATCTTCTTTCATCTTTCATGGATTCCAGTGTGCGGTATGATGCTAGCAGGAAACGCGCCCTGAGGGGTAATTGGGGAGCAGTGGGTTCCTCCCAGTCTGAGTCTTTCACCAGTTCAGAGACAGCCTCCCCAAGTCCCTGGACACCAGACCAGCTCCTCCAGGTTCAGGGACCATGGGACTGTCTGATGGGGTAGCAGCATGGTCCAGGGATATTGGAAGAAGGAGGCCGGGCCACACTCTTGGTCCTTGTGTCTGGGCACCCACAGATTCCTGGTGCCCTTGTGGGCACACCACCGTTACCACAGCTGGTCATTCCTCCAGACAGTGGGCTCCCCCTTCCCCATCGGTCCAGCTCTCACAGCCTCCTTTCTTGTGCCCTCATTTTCATTCCAGGGACATTCCTGGGAACTGTGGGAGAACTCAGAAAACTTTTGATTATATATAATGTCAAAACATACAAGACTGGAAAAAGAGACTTGCAGAATCTGTAACAGAGGGTAACTATCATGAAGAGAATATGTTCAAACCATCGAAGAACAAACAAACGGTAAGGAAAACAAGAAGGCAATTCCCAGACATTGGCAAATAATCAAGTGATACAGTTCACCTCAGTAACAATGAAAGAAATGCAACATAAGTAGGGCGCCATTTTCCTTTTTGGGAATTTTAGAAAAAAATAAAGTCAATACTGTGTAGCCCTATCTAGGGCAATGCATTTGTTGGTAATGTCTGAGGCATTTCAAATGCATGTACCCTTTGCCCTGGCAGGTTCAACCCATGAATCTGCCTTGCAAAATATACATTTGTGTCAGCTTCAGAGCAAGAGGTTACTTCAGCAATCCTTTAGTTGAAGTGGCTACGTTTTCATGCTTTTTAAGTGCTTGGGAATGATTTGGAAACAGCCATAGTAGATGGTCAACTACAGTCACCTTCTGGAGAAGACTGAGATGGAGTGGGTGTGGTGATTTATTCTTATTATTTTTATTTTTTTATCCTCACCCAAGGACACTTTTTCATTGCTTTTAGAGAGAGAGGAAGGGAGAGAGACAGGGAGAGAGAAACATTGATGGACAGAGAAGCATTGATTAGTTGTCTCCCCGACATGCCCAGACCAGGGATCAAACCCAAAACCTAGGCATGTGCCCTGACCACAAATCGGACCTGCAACCTTCTGGCTACGGGATGACGCTCCAACTAAGTGAGCCAACAATCAAGGGCTGATTTTTTTTGAACTTTTGAAAACAGCTGTATTGAGATATAATTTGCACCCATTAAAGTGTGCAATCCAGTTTTTTTTTTCCACATCTACTGTGAGGCTGAAGACCATTCTCAACAATCAGACTATCAATATTCCAGAAAATATCGACATCACTGTCGAAAGGATGCACAGCTATTATGAAGGGCCCTAGAGACACCCTGTGCAGGGAATTCAACCACATCAATGTAGAACTCGGTCTCCTTGAAAGAAAAAAAGGCTCCGGGTTGACAAATGGTGGGGAAATAGAAAGGAACTGGCCACTGTTTGCACTATGCAGTCATGAACAGAACATGGTCAAGGATGTTACAGATTAGGCTTTCATTACAGAATGAGGTCTATGTATGCTCACTTCCCCATCAACGTTGTAATTTAGGAGAATGATTCTCTTGTTGAAATCAGAATACATCTGCAGGGTTTTGATGAGATCAGGTGTTGCTTATTCAGTTATCTCAAGCCCAGGAAGACTGGTTAAGTCTTGAAGGAAATGACATTGAACTAGTACCAAATTCAGCTGTTTTGTTCAGCAAGCCACAACAGCTGAAAACAAGGATATCAGAAAAATTTTGGATGGTATCTATGTTTTTGAAAAAGGAGCAGCTCAGCAGGCTGATGAATAAGATCTAAGTTGTCCAGCTATTGAAACAGCAAGACAATGGATGATTCCTCTTTACTTGTGATATTTTATTTTCATTTTTTAAAAAGACTTTATTTACTTTTAGAGAGAGGAGAAGAGAGAGAGAAAGAGAGGGAGAGAAACATTAATGTGATGCCTCTGACTAGGAATCTGGCCCACAACACAGACAGGCATGTGCTCTGACTGGGAACTGAACTGACGATTCTTTGGTTCCCAGGCTGGTGCTCAGTCCGTTGAGCCACACAAGCCAGGGCTTACTTGTGATATTTTAATGATGCAATAAAAGCCATGTATTGATTTGGGGGAAAAAAAAGTGTGCAATTAAGTGGTGTTAGTTTATTCATAGAGTTGTGCAACCTTTACCACAAACTTAGAACATACCACCCCTAAAGAAACCCCACACCCATTAAGAGTCACATACCTCCAGTTATCCCACACCTAGACAACCTAATCTGTTTTCCATCTCTATGGATTTGCCTATTCTGTACATTTATATAAATGAAGTCATACGCTATGTATTTTTTCAAAGCTACTTCATGTGTTGGCACTTCATTACTTTTTATAACCAAATACTATTTCTTTGCACAGATTATACCAAATTTTATTCACCTACTCATCAACGATGGACATTTGGCTTGTTTGCACTTTTTGGCTATTATGAATAATGTTGCTATGAACATGCAAGTTTTTGTGTGGGATTATGTTTTCATTTCTCTTGGGTACACACCTAGGACTGGAATAGTTTGGTTGTATGGGAACTCTTTATTTAAACTTTTGAGAAACTGCCAGGCTGTTTTCCACAGCAGCTGCACCGTTTTACATACCCCTAGACAGTGTATAAAGATTCCAATTTCTCCACCTCCTTGACAACAGCTTGTTATTTTATCTTTTTGATTATAGCCATCCTCCTGGGGGTGATGTGGTATCTATTTTTGGTTTTGATTTGCATTACTCTAATGGGTAATGATGTTGAGCATCTTTGCATGTGTTTATTGGCCATTTGTCTCTATCCCTTGGAGAAATATCAACTCACTTCCTTTACATATTTTTCAATTGGTTACTTGTCTTTTTATTGAGTTGTAAGAGTTTAAAAAATTAACCTGGATACAATTCCCTCATCAGATATATGAATTGTAAATATTTTCTCCTATTCTGTTGGTGCTCTTTTTCCTTTCTTGGTGGTGTCCTTTGAAACACAAAAGTGTTTAATTTGATAAAGTTCAATTACGTTTTCCTTTAGTTGTTTGTGCATTTGGTGTTTGTTATATCTAAGTAATCACTGCCCAGTCCAAGGTCATGAATATTTACCCCCCCCCTTTTTTTTTTGGTAAGAATTTTCATTAAAATTTTTTTTTAAATGATATTATTTATTTCATTTTTAGAGCGGGGAAGGGAGGGAGGAGAGGGAGAGAAACACCAACGTGTGGTTGCATCTCGCGTGCCCACCGCTGGAGACCTGGCCTGCAACCCAGGCATGTGCCTAACACTGGGAATCAAACCTATGGTTCGCAGGCCGGAGAGCTCAGTCCACTGAGTCACGCCAGCTTGGGCTGTAAGATTTTTTATAGTGCTAGCTCTTACGTTTCGGTGCATGGTTTTAAAAAAATCACAATGAAGTGATTTTTAAAAACTTTTTTTTTTAGTACTTTATACCTGTAAGTTTGAACGTTCTGCCCAAAGCAAGTGTTACTTTTATAATGAGGGAAGTAAGACTTAGAGACAGCTGCCTGGAACTGAACGGCTGATGCAGCCTCAGTTTTCCATTCACGCTGATGGGCGGTTCCCTTCGCCTCTAGCCGGAAACGGGCCGTTCCACGCGCAGGCGTAGCTTCCCAGAGAGAGCCCGGGGCCTGCGCACGCCGCGCCCACGGCGGCCCGCGCCTGCGCAAGCTTTCCGGCCTGCGCGCCGGCACCTTCTGCGCTTTTTCTTTGCCCTGTGGCTGAAATCTCGAGGGCCGGGTGGGACGTACTAGGTGGTGCGCAGGTTTGGTCACTGTGGCGGTGTCTCCCTTCGGCTTGGCTCTCAGTACCGGGCGTTTTCGTGGCCTCGGCCCCGTCCTTGTCAGATCCCGTTTCCTCTCCCGCCCCCGCCCCCGTCCCCCATTCCTGAGCGCGCCTTCCTCAAGCTCGTCCGCCTCCCCGGTCCCGGTCCTCCTCGGAGCTCACCAACACCACACCCGGTCCAGTCGTCCTCGGGCCCGCTCCAGCCCTTGGCGTGCCTTCCTAAGGCACTCTCTGACCCCCGGCCCCTCCTCGGAGCCCTCCCACACCTCCACCTCTGCTCCCGCGACCCCGTTATAGAATGGGGGACAACACCAGCCCCATCAGCGTGATCCTGGTGAGCTCGGGGAGCAGGGGCAATAAACTGCTATTCAGGTACCCATTCCAGAGAAGCCAGGAGCACCCGGCGTCTCAGACAAGTAAGTGAGCGCTGGGAGCGGGCCTGGCGCTTCTGAGTATGAGCCTGGCGGCTGGGAGAGAGCAGCCAGCCTTAGGGGCCCCTTCCCTCACCGCCTCGCACGTTTAAATTAAAATCCTTTATTTATTTATTTTTTCCTTTCCTGATCATACAGTCGCTGCCTACTCTTTATAAAAAGAATGCTATATGAAACGTGTGGAAAAGTAAAAAGAAACTGGAGAAAAATCACTCGTAATCCAGCAGGCCAAAGTCACTATTGCTAACATTTCATCCATGTCTACAGCCTTTTAAAAAAATATGTAAACACTGCATGTGTTAACCTAACAATGAAAGGTCAAAGTGAGAGGCAACAAGCATTTATTTGAGATTGATAAGAATAGCTCTTTGGGATGTCCTCAGTGTTCTGATTGAGAGACAAAGGTATTGGGTGTTTATGAGAAGAGGAAAGGGAACAATTACATCACTAAAAGTAAAGCACTTCTGTTGGTCAGATAACATAGTGAGGTTAATTCTAAACAATGTTTTTAATTTTCAGCCTGGTCATAGTCAAGGTAAGTCATAGCATCTGCTTTCTTTCGAGCACAAGAATGCTTAAGCCAGTTCAAGGGTTTTTTTTGCCTTGTTTTAACATATTAAAGGTTTGAGGCAAAAGACATGCAAAACAGTTCTTCTGGGATGGCAACTCCAGCTCTGTTTTAAGGTGCCTCCATTTATTGTTATTTTTTGACATATAAATGTATTCAGCTTGGAAAAAATAGGAATTAAAGATCCATCTGCAGTTTTCTTTTGACTGCTACCCTCAGCTGTGCTCCTCTGTTTGAGGGATAACTGCTTACTATTTTAGTAATTGTCCCTCCTCTACGTAGACACTGTAGGAAATCTGTGTAAATACAAGCATATGCACACATTATTTTAGTTTTTTCCTAAGCACAAGTGAACACATTGTATGTACTGTTCTGCTGTATTGTTTTCATTTTCACTTGACATCTTGGATATAGTTTCAGCATTACGATCAGAATCATGGGATGAACATACTGTGATTTATTTATCCAGTCTTCTGTTGATAGGTATTTAAGTTGTTTCCCATCTTTTGCTACTGTAACCAGTGAAAATGTCCTTTCCATATATATTATCATTTTGCTGGACATAGAATTAATGCCCAGAAGTGGGATGGTTGGATCTAACAAATAATGAGCATATGTATATTTTTCTTCTTCTTTTTTTTTTAGTTTCAGGTGTACAGCATAATGGTTAGGCATTTGTATAATTTATTAAGTGACCCTTCCAATGAGTGGGGTACCCACCTGGCACCATACATAATTATTACAGTATTATTTATTAAAAAAAGATTTTATTTATTTATAGAGGGGGAGGGAAACAGCAATGTGTGGCTGCCTCCCACCTACCCCCTACTGATGACCTGGCCTGGAACCCAGGCCTGTGCCCTGACTGGGAATGGAGCCTATGACCCTTTGGTTCACAGGCCAGCAATCCATCCACTGAGCCACACCACCCAGGGCTGATTTTCCCTTGATTTCATTGTTAACCCATTCATTGTTTAGGAGTATGTTACTTAGCCTCCAGGTGTTTGTGTGTGTTTTATTTTTTTTCTTGTGATTGACTTATAGTTTCATACCATTGTGGTTGGAGACTATCCTTGATATGATTTTATTCTTCCTAAGTTTCATGAGATTTGTTTTGTGGCACAGCACGTGGTCTATCTTGGAAATTGTTCCCTGTTCAATGGAAATGAATGTATACTCTGCTGCTTTGAGATGAAGTGTTCTCAGAATATCTATTAAGTTCCATCTGATCTAATGTGTCATTTAAGGCTGCTGTTTCCTTATTGATCTTCTGTCTGGAAGATCTACTCATTGAAGTCAATGGGTCATTAGAGTCCCCTTTTATGACAGTATTATTATCGTTGATCTCTCTCTTTATGTCCATTAATATTTGCTTTATGTTGGTTGCTTAAGTGTTAACAGGGGTATATCCTCTGGTTGGATTGATCCCTTTGTCATTATGAAATGTCTTTGTTATTATAGCCTTTGTTTTAAAAACATTTTTTTAAAGATTTTATTTATTTATCTTTAAAGAGAGAGGAAATTAGGGACAAAGAGAGGGATAGAAACATCAATGTGCAAGAGAAACTTTTGCCTCTTGCATGACCCCCAACTGGGGACCTGGCCTCCAGTCCAGGCATGTACCCTGACTGGGAATCTTAACCAGTGACCTTTCTGTTTGCAGGATGATGCCCAACCCACTGAACCATACCAGTCAGGGCTATAGCCTTTGTTTTAAAGTTTATTTTGTCTGATATAAATGTTGCTTCTCTAGCTTTTTTTGTTTCCATTTGCATGAAATATCTTTTTCCATCTCTTTCAGTCTGTGTTTGTCTTTAGATCTGAAATGCCTCTTGTAGACAGCATATGTATGGTTCTTCTTTTCTTATTTATTCAGCTACTCTGTCTTTTGTTTAGAGTATTTAATCCATTTACATTTGTAGTGATTATTGATGGGTGCATAGTTGCTGCCATTTTATTAATAATATTTCTGTCCCCCCTCCCCTTTCTTCATCTTAAAGAAGTCCCTTTAACATTTCTTGTAATTCTGGTTTGGTGGTGATGAACTCTGTTAGCTTTTTCTTGTCTGGAAGAGCACAGTCATTTTTAATAGATCAGAGTCTTCTTTGTTAAAGAGATAGGTGAAAAATTGTATCTGGCTGTCACTAGCATGGCTCAGTTGTTTGAGTGTCATACTGCAAAGCAAAATGTTGCGGGTTTAATTCTGGTTAGGGGCTCATGCCTGGATTGTGGGCCTGGTCTCTGGTCGGGGCATGTGCAAGAGGCAACCCATCAGTGTTTTCTCTCACATATCGATATTTCTCCCCCTCTCTCCCTCCCTTCCTGTGTCTCTAAAAATAAATAAAATCTTTAAAAAAAATTGTTGCTACCCTTACTGGTGTGGCTCTCTGGGTTTGGCGTTCTCCTGCAGACTGAAAAGTCACTGGTTCGATTCTCAGTCAGGGCACGTGCCTGGGTTGTGGGCCAGGTCCCTGGCTGGGGGCTTGCGAGAGGCAATGGATCAATGTTTCTCTTGTACATCGATGTTTCTCTCCCTCTATTTCTCCCTCCCTTCCCCTTTTCTATAAAAAAATAAATAAATAAAATCTTTAAAAAAATTGTATCTGATAGTAGTCTCACTGTGCATTTGTCTAGGATTGAGAGTGAACATGTTTCCCTGTTTTCAGAGCCATTTGTCTTTCCTTTTTAGTGAATGCCTTATTATAGCCTTTGCCTAATTTCTTCTTGGGTTGTTTGATTTCTTTTCTTCTCTTTTCTCCTATATAGATTTGAAGGAGTTCTTTATATATTAAGGATAAAAATAGGCCTTTGTGACAAAGCTGTACATACTCAGCCAGTTTGCCTGCACGTAATTCTTGCTACATAGTGTTTTGATTTTTTTTTAATATAAAGATTTTATTTATTTATTTTCAGAGAGAAGGGAAGGGAGGGAGAGAAGGAGAGAAACATTAGTTGGTTGCCTCTCGTACACCCCCAACTGGGAACCTGGCCCGCAGCCCAGGCATGTGCCCTGACTGGGGATTGAACCTGTGACCTTTCAGTTCATAATGGGCCGGTGCTCAATCCACTGAGCCACACCAGCCAGGGCGTGTTTTAACTTTCATGGAGTCAAGATTTTAATCTATTCTTTTGTGGTTTCTGAGTTTTGTGATACATAGAAAGGCCTCTCCTTTCCAGTAGTATTATTTCCAGTAATAGGAGTCTCATATTTTCCTGTCAGACATTTATTGTCTTGTTTTTAAATGTGTTTATCTTGGTGTAAGGCGAAAACTCCTACCAGGAGTTGGTATTTTGGAGGCACTTGCTGAGAGCTATGTGTGTGTGCTTTCTGTTTGCCCGCTGGAGCCCTGGGGAGCAGACACTCTGGCGCATGAGGAAAGACGTGGTAACATCAGGCCCCACAGCTGGGGAGTATTGGGATCAAAAGCCTACGTAATTTTCTCTTCCATATGACTACCTAGTCCCAACATCATTTCATAGAATAATTCACCTTGCCTTCACTGATTGGTTCTGCTACCTTTATCACATACTAAGTTCCCGTGTTTATTTGAGTTTAGTTTTGATCTTTCTTACCTCTCCCAATGATCTATCTGTTTGTGTGTGGGTTCTACACTGATGAATTATTGTAACTTTATACTGTTATATACCATCAGGATTAGTCACTATTGTTACTTTTCTTTTTTAGCATTATAAGGTAGTTCATGCTTTCTTTTCCCTGTAAATATTAGCATTCGCTATGTTAGAACCCACTCACAAAGCTTTGGTGTAGTTTTGGCGGTCATTTTAAACATGGCGATTAATGTGGAAGAAAGAGTATCTTTATGTTGAATCTTTCCATTAAAGAACATACTATGTTTTTTATTCATTATTACCTACTTTATTAGCATTTCTGTTTTCTTCATGGGCCTATTGCATGTGATGAAGCTGTTCATGATGAACTTAAGTTCATCCTTAGGTCTGGTAAGGGACTGTTGTTTGTGTATATGAAAGATATTGGTATGTGGACATTTAAAAATTCTTTCTTTTATCTGTGCTTTTTCCGACCTAGTTGACATCATACACTGAGAGGATGTGTGTGTATCTCTGTGTGTGTGTGTGTGTGTGTGTGTGTATATATATATATATCCTTTTTTTCTTGCTTAATAGTAGCCAAAGCATTTCCTGTGTTGCTATAACTTCTTGGAAGCCATACTTTTTTGGAAAAATATTTAATTATGGTAAAAATATATAAAATTTTCCATTTTAATCATTTTTTAAAACCCTCATCTGAGGGTATATCCATTGATTTTAGAGAGAGAGGAAGGGGGAGGAAGACAGAGAGGGAGAGAGAAACATTGATGTGAGAGAGAAACATCCATTGGTTGCCTCCTGTATGTGTCCTGACTGGGGATTGAACCTGCAACCTTCTGGTGTATGGGATGATGCTCCAGCCAGCTGAACCACCCAGCCAGGGTGCCATTTTAACCATTTTTAAGTGTACAGTTGGGTGGCATTAATCACATTTACCATAATTAATTTATCATATTGTATAATTAGCACCATTTCCAGTTTTAGATTTTATTTATTTTATTTTTAGAGGGGGGAAGGGAGGGAGAATGAGGAGAAAAACATCAATGTGTGGCTGCATCTCACGCACTCTACACTGGGGACCTGGCCTGCAACCCAGGCGTGTGCCCTGCACTGGGACTCGAACCAGTGACCCTTTGGTTCACAGGCCAGCGCTCACTCCACTGAGCCACATCACCTAGGGCTCCAAAATTTTTAATTACCTCAAACTGAAGCTTGTAAGCAAGCAATAACTCCCCATTTCTCCTGCCCCTCAGCCTCTGGAACCTTTAATCTACTTTCTGTTTCTGAATTTGCCTTTTGTAGTTATTTTATGTAAGGGCAATATTTGTCTGCTTGTGTCCAGTTTCTTTTTCTTAGCATAATGTTTTTAAGTTCATGTACGTTGTAGCATATGTCAGAGCTTTGTTCTTTTTTTGGCTGATTAATATTCCATTGTGTGTGTATATACCACATTTTAAAAACCATCACTTTTACTGACTCTACAATCCTCTGTATGTGGGTGGATCCTGGTTTCTTAGCTGTTGTCTCCTTTTTGCCCTCACTCAGATAAGCCTCGTAGCAGATATGCCGTGAACAACACCAGAGATAACGCTGAGGATCAGGACGGTGACTCCAGGTAAGGTCTCTGAAGTCCCTGTGATGGAGCTAGTCCTGCCCCTAGGCCTGGGCAGAGCCCTGTCTCCTGTTGACCTAGATGTTTCCTCTAAAGAACTTGGTGTTCTTTTTCTCCTATTTGGTGGGTGTTTTGGGTAGTGCGGAGCTGGGGATTGTTTTGCCAATCTCTGGCTTGCTGCATAATTCAGTCACATGTTCCAGCTGTGGTCTTTGTGGTTGGTAAAGCAGGTTGGAGAATAGATGAGGCCATGTTTCTATAGCACATTTATCTCCCATGAGAGGAACATGGAGGAAAGCAGCCCCCAGTGCTGTCCTCAGACCTTATTCCACAAGCCAGTGCTCAGAGGTTAGATAGAGGTGCTTGGGTGCAGTACAGCCTGTCCAGGCGGTGACATGGGCTGAGTCGGGCTGATCTGACCCTTGCTCTCTTAGAGCACAGATGAAAAGTGGGTCTTCCTGTGTATGCCCCCCTGTTCTCTGCGGGAAGGAGTATCATGCAAATGTGAGAAATGACCACTTCTCCCTCCTTATATTCATTTTAAAGCTTAGTAAATGGTCACACAGGCCCAGATGAGGGAGTAAAGATTGTAAATTGCCTGTTCTGCTTCCCCTAAACATAGCTGGGGGCTTTGTGAGGGAAAGGACTTAGCCTCTACAGTCCCATGGGAAAATAGCCGAGGTCCCCACACTGGGCCTTTGACATGCGTACTGTTAGTACAGTTCCCCTCAGTTCTCTTGACAAGGCACCACAGCTCCCATAGTGTTGAGCAGTGCCAAGAGTATGGTTTTTATTTTTTGTGTTGGAGGACATTGAGGGCCTCTGCAGTGACCAGTGACTATCTCTAAAGGGAGCGGGGCTTTGAAAGAGAGACCAGAAGGAGGGGGATAGGGTGTGGGAGGGTGCTGGCCATTCCCTGTGTCCTTCTGCTTGACGTAGAGGCCTGTGGGTGTCTTGTCCTTTAAAATTAGAAACTTGGACAGACTCTCATTACAGGTACACAGAAAGCTTTTTGCCTTAACACACTGGGTGGGTGTGTTTTGTCTTCTTCCTGTGGCACAGACTAGTTTAGAGCAGGGCTGGCTAGTTGCCTGCCATTCTTCTTTCAGGCTCCACGCATGTGAGGCTCAGGCTCAGGATGTGGAGACTCAGAAAGAGCTCTTGGCAGGTCTGTGTAGAGGTTATTTTTTAGGAGGCCATGAGCATGTAATTCCTGCAATTAATTTCCAGAAGCTTATGATAAAACCACTATGAGGTAGTATCATTTGGTAATGTTAGCACATTATAACAGCTAATCATCCCACTCCCCACTCTCCACATTTTCAGAGATACTTGTTAATACCCTTAGGGCCCCAACTTTATTTTGTCACATAGGCCTGCCCAGCCGCTGCTCTGCTCCTGGCCGCTGGGGGACCCCAGCCATACCTCGGGCATCTTCCTGGTGTACTGCGGTGAAGGTGCATCGTACCTGTCCCCTGTTTTCCTTGATTGTTGTTCTCAGAGGTGCTTTTCTTCTGGAACCAGTAGAATGTTCCTGCTTGCCAGTTTGCCAGATTGAAGCGATGTTAACAGGCCTCATGGGTAATTTCTGAATGTGGTGGTGGCCAGCCTGAGAGAAGGGAGGGAGCAGAGCTATGCCGCCCAGTGTGCAGTCTCTGGCCACTGTGACCATTGAAATAGAAATGAACTTATTTCCTCGGTTGCACTTGCCATATTTCAGGTGCTCAGTGGCTACTATATTGAATGGTGTAGATCTGGAATATTTCTGTTAGTACAGAAAGTCCTGTTGGACAGTACTGGCTTGGAGAGTAGGCTGGTTTTATAAGGTGTATCATGGAGGTGATGTGTTTCAGGGCATAAGAATTAACTGTCACTTTTTAAACACTTACTAGAATTCAGAAGGGAGAGGAGAGCATAGATATTGTCTGTTGTCTCTAAGGCTTGAAATTCAAGTTTAGAAAAGTGGTAGTGTCCTTGCGTGTTGGGGATTAGGGGCCAGGTTGCTCATGCTTAGTTCCATCTCTAGTTTAATCACCCACACTGGCAGAGGCAAAGCCATCAGGAGAGGTACAAGGAGAAGCCTGGTTTTTGTCAGAAAGGCTGTTGTGGGCATGATCCCACCCGATGTGGAGGTCACTTCTGGCTTCTCTTTGTATTTCAATCAGTGTTCTGGCTGCAGAGAAGGAGATGCTGCTGGCTGGGAGAAGAGTTGACTCTATTTCAAAGCACTCTGAGATCATTTACTTTAGACATCATCCAGAAGACTTTCCCATAGCTGTGAAAGGTTTCTGTCTCTACCCTTTGCCTCTGTGTTGGACTTGTGGGGCACTGGAATCAGGTGGCACTTTTGTCCCTCTCAGGCTTGTCTACCTTCCTTGAAGCAGTGGGTCCAGCTTTTAGGCAGAGTCATGCCATAGGCTGGAAGCGGGGCTTGGCCAGGTGCGCTGTAGTGCAAGTCCTCCATACCATGTGCACATGGGGCTTCATCAGGGCCTCTTTTGACAGCTTTGCCTGTATGGCACATGTGTTGAGATATGTTAAAAAGATGCCTCTACTTGCTAGAATTGAGGTCAATACCCAAGAATGTGGACAAGCAGTGTTGTCCCCAAGCTTAGATATCTCCCTTCCCTTTTCCTGGCCCAGCCGAGTCCACACTGGTGCCCACATTGACGTGTCCCTTCAGGACAGCGTACTGGGACAAGCTCAGGTTCAGGTTTCCAGATCTCATTCTCACTCTGCATCCTATAGTATATGACCTTGGGCATGTTCCTTAGACAGTGAGCCTCTTCTGTAAGATGTCTGCAGGCAGCAAGACACCTCTGCCTCTCCCTCTGAGGCCTAGGTGTCATGGGAACATCTGTCTTAGGGGAGAGTACTTGCTGATGGCTCTGTCTCCATCCGAGGGGCAGACACAGGTCCATAAAACATGCCTGTGGACTTTAACGTGTCACCTCCATTCCCCAGTAAAGGAATGGAGCACTGGGATTTTGTTGTCACCTGTCTAGTTGTAGGAGATAAAGTTGTAGGAGTTCCACTCAAGCTTCTTCAAATTCTGATTTTCTGAGTGGTCTTGGGAAAGTCCACAAAACATCTGATCCCTTTACTACTTTACAAACTGATGAGCTAAAGTTTGGGATTTGCTGAAAAAAAGGGTTCTTCATTGTGTGCTTCTCTTGCATGGGTCTTTGTCAGTGCACGTGTCTTGGTGAGAGCGGCGGCGGCAGCAGGCGCCGCGGGGCAGCCTGGTGGGCGTGGCACGGCACTGTGGCAGGCTCTCACTCCCCCACTGCTGCCTGCACCGTGGGGCTCAGGCCTTCCTTCTACTTGCAGGAAACTCGGAAAGCAGCATATCCCAGGACACAAGCCTCTGTAAGGGAACTTTAACTCTTAAATATACTTTCTAAAAAAGCTCAGGTTGGATAATGCAGACGTCTCAGACATTTTCCACCATAAGTGCAGCTCTGCTGTGACTGCCTTGCCACAGTCATGTTCTGGGCAGTGGCTCAGGGAGATCAGCTATTCAGTGACAGCAGCTCAAGAATTGGGACTGAGACATTCAGTGGCATTCTTTGGTTTTCATAAGGCTTTTACCTATGGGGGTCTTATTTGATCCTTTTGAGATGATTTGTCAGGTTAAATACTTGTGCATAGGCATCTGGCCAATACATGTGGGCTAGACTCTGGCCCAGGTCTTCCGGCCTTTCTCTCGCTTCTGGAAACAGACCCTCATTCTTGCCCAGTGTATATTTACGTGAGAGAATTTGAGCTTTAGAGAGAAAACTGTGTGGTAAGTCTTCAACTTGGGGAGTGTCTGTATCCTTTCTTGTCTGGTAAGTTGCGTACCCTTCACCTCAAACAGTTAATGCTTAATGGTAGTACTTCTGTTAGACTTTAATACTGTTTTATAAAGCAACTATAAATTTTTATTATTTTTAAAATCGATGTGTTTTTGTTTGGTCTTGATGGTCCTGTTCCCATTTCAGCGAGCCATGTCCTCCAACCGATGAGCAATTGGTTGCAGGGTAAGACCAAGACTTCTCCACCATCTTTCTGTCTTGATTCCTGCTACCTTCTTTCCTTGTAATTGTGCTTAACTCCTGATTTCCCTCAATGTTGAAGAATGACTAATGAGGCACACAGGCTCTCGCTCAGATTGCACTGCCCCAATCCCTCAGGAGTACCTAGGCTTCCCACAGCCCCTGCCCTTTCTCCATTTGGAGTTATTTAGCTATTTCACGCTACCCAAAAGACCTAGGCAAGGTTGGCTGGCGCCAGGAAGACTTCTGGGACCGGGCATGCACTCAGACCTCTTCCTCCAGGCAGGTACCAGCGGCCCTGTAAGGATGGTAGGAGCAGGATTTCTTATCTCCTTCGCTTATTGGCCACCTAGAGAGATCCTTGATTATTGCTCCTTGCCCTCATTTCTCAGAGGGGTTTAGTGGGGGCCTCTCCCAAGGGCTGGGTGTTAAATGTAATGCTTGAGCTTAGATGCTGTAGTATGTGCCCTTTAGAGGCGAAAGTATACCCATGGAGTTTACATAGCACTTCTCCAGGACGGCATGAATAAGTGGGACCCTCTTGTTCCCCGACAGGGCATCTTCCCTGGACACTGAAGGTATCCAAAGCATCTTTGAGTGCCCCGTAATGGGAGGAGGCAGAGTTGAGTTTCCTTCCATGTTGCTCCTCTCCCCATTTTTAGCCAAGCCAGAGAACAAGCCTTGCTCCCAAATGTTTCAGAAGGAACGGAAGGTCTTGGCCTGTTTTCCAGCTGGGCTGGTTCATCTTCCTAAATGTATGTGTTTTTTTTTTGTTTGTTTGTTTTTTAAATTTCTAAGTTATCCCAGGAATGTCAATTTTTTTCTAACAGCTGTTTTATTGTATGTGATATATTTACCAGGACTTTTACCATCAAAACAAGGCAAAAGGATTCTTGTAAACTTTGGGAACAACAAACAAATATTGTCACTTGTTTTTGTGTCAGTTTGCTATTTATAACAATTATGTCTCCTAATCCCCAAATCTCATCGTGTACTCTGTGCCTTTGTGTATGTTATGTCAGCAGACACACTGTATAAAGTATGAGGCCACTCAAGTATTCTTTTTTTTTTTTTAAAAAAAGATTTTATTTATAGAAAGAAGGGAAGGGACAGAGAAAGAAAGGGAGAGAAACATTGATCCACAACAGAAACATTGACCAACTGGCTCTTGCACACCCCCAGCTGGGGACCTGGCCTGCAACACAGGCATGTGCTGTGTTGATCAAACCGGTGACCTTTTGGTTCACAGGCCAGCGCTCAATCCACTGAGCCACACCAGTCAGGGCACCACGTGCTTTTTTCATCATAAGTGTTAATACTGCAGTGGTGAGTGATTTCCATGTGAGCCACACTAACCCCTGCTGGCCACCCCAGAGGGCCCTCCCTGAATGGCCACCTAGGACAGTGTGGCTTTTGACTTCAGCAGCACATGGCTTGCCAGTTGGCTCCTTCTGAAGATCCTGGCCTTTCTGGTCTTCAGGGGAAGCACTTTTTCTTTTGCTCTTGGAAGGGCGCTTTCAGAGCTGGATAGTTATAGAAATTCACCGTACCGCCCCTGCTTGCCTCTGAATCGCAGGGCCCGTCCCACAGCCGTACTAACTTAAGTTCATGAGCTGGTGGCTGAGGGCCAGGGCCGAGGCTCCTCTGTGGGCCTTGATGACAGAACAGAGTTTTTTTAATGGTGGTATTTAGATATCACAGGAAAAAGTAAACTTTCTGGAGTAGTGGGAAGTTGTTTTCTGTGCCTTATCCCTGTGTCCTTGAGTCCTTGGGTGGCAGAGTGGAGGGGCTATTTGTTCAGATAGGATGTGAAATGTTGGCACTGGATCAGTCATTAGGGCAGAAGTGTGTGTTTGGGTTTATCGCCCCGAGCTCTTGCTCGCCGTCACTGTGTCTCTCGGACGGGAGTTACGTAGTGCAGAGTGAGCCAGTTAGGGTTTTTGAAGGAAGCATATAATTAATGCCTCTGGTCTAAGACACTGGAATCTTCCATCTCTGGTTTAATCACTCCAGAGAGCAGTATTCTGGGGAAGAGAGGCCCATCACGGGTGGTTGAGGACTTGAGCTGTCCCACGTTTCCCAGACTGTCTCTGACAACCTTGGTGTCAAAGGGCTGAGTGCAGTGCTCACTGTGCGAGAGGCAAACCCTCTACATTTGGTTTGTCTGGGGCCACAGGGCAACCTAGGACGCCTAGAGGATCATGTCAAACCAATGTGTACCCTACCCCGCAAGGGCTCCGCTCCCTTCCCATCTGTGGGAAGGAGTCCCTTAGCTCCTTGTCTTGCAGTTTGTCTGAGTGCTGGTTGATCAAAAGGCTCTTGCTGTGGGCTGGCTCCAAGTCACTCTTACATTAGGTTGTGAGCCCTGCCTGTGTAAGGAGCCCAGGGCAAAAGGCCCTCTTCCTAGACCCTTTTATCTGAGTCACTTGTTATTTTATTTGAGAGTTGAGCTGAAGCAGCCGTTGTAGCAGACCATCTTTTTCATCAGAAAATGGAGAGGTATGGTGTTAGTTGCTCCCCTCTCCCCACTTGAGGCCCTTCAGGAGAAAAGCATGTGGTATGGTGCCTGATTCACTGTAGCTCCTCAGCAAGACCCAGGACACACACTGGAATGTCTGTCCTCGATGGCCTCTAGGACCTTTGTGTCTCTCTGTCCAGGGCAGAACGTGGCCCTGGGGGAACTGGAACTACTTTCCCCAATACAGTGTGTCCTCCCAACCCGAATACTAGAACTGCTTTCCCCAGGTGCAGAGATGAGCACAGGACCTGTCTCTCTTCTGGCTGCAGCTCAGACATGGTACATCAGTGTTTCTAAATTGGAGGCACCCCACCAAGCCTGGGCTCTGAGATAAGAGTCTGCACTACACCCCCCGCCCTGCCCCCCCGGCAGTGCTCCTCCCTGTGGTGACCCTCCCTTATCCAGACACCCCTCATCCCAGGCAGGAAGGAATAGGGTTACCAGTAAGAAAACATAAGTGTACAGATGCATCTTGCAAAGGGGTGATCTCGTATCCAAATCTGCTCTCACCTACACCATAGCCATTCCTGCTCTTGTATGGCATCCAGCCCTGTGCATCCTTTGTTCATATCATATCAGTGGGTCTGCATATCTTCTACATCTTAAAAGTTTCCTCCCTAATAAAAACTGGAAGGTGCAAAGGGAAGGGCCAAGCAGCGGTGCTGAGGAAGGTAACGAGCACACTGCAGTTAGTGATATACCCTTGCCCTTTACAGAGCACCTGAGGGGTTGGGGGTTCGTAGGAGGGGTGCAGCCTGGTAAACCTGGGCCTGGTGGTAGAGCTCCCCCAACCTGTGAGCCTTAATGAGCAGCTCCTCAGGGCAGCGCCAGCTTCAGCTGTTGTTCCTCCCTTTAAAAGCAAACTGCAACTTGTTTCTCTCCTGAATTTCATAGAGCATGCCAAAAAATTGACAGCATGTGCCTTCAGTCTATGCTTCTCATGCCTTTTACCTTGTAATTTTGGTGATTTTTATGTCCCAAATCTTGGGGATTGCTTCAAAAGGCAACTGATAGAAGCTCCCAGGTCATCAGTGGGGGTCCAGTCACTCTGCGCACACGGCTGCCATATACTGAGACTCTTCCTCTCTGAGGGCAGCGGGTGTGGGACTGGGACACTTTGTTCACTTATTTCCACTCTACTTTTTCATTTTAAGGTTTTCAGATGTCATTCTGGCAACAATTTTGGCAACCAAGTCTGAAATGTGTGGCCAAAAATTTGAACTGAAGATTGACAATGTGCGTTTTGTTGGGCACCCGACGCTCCTGCAGCATGCGCTGGGGCAGGTAAGGGCCGCCCTGAGCTGATAAGGCTCTCCCTGGGCAGGCTGGCCCATCCTGTCCTGGTCTGGGGCTCTCAGGGAGCCGTGGCTGACACTGGATCAGGTAAAGGCAGCCACTGTGCAGCAGGCCTGGTCAGCTGCGTGCTGTCAGCTGCACGTCCACATGGGCCCTGGGGGTGGGTCCCTCAGGGAAGGAGACAGGCATCCTTGTCCCCAGAGTTTCTGTCCCTGCTCCTAGCGTTTGTATAGTGGTACAAGCATTCCTTCTTTCTTATTAAGTGATACCATAGCCAACATTATTATTAATTTAGCTCTTACTTTTGTGCTAAATCCTTTATATGCATTCTTTGATGAATGAAATGTTACAGTACTGGGAGTTTTTAACAAGATTTAATGCACTCTGACCCAAGGGAAATTGCACACCAGAATCTCACAGTGCTTTTGCACATACCAAAAATCAGCATCACTCAGATTCCAAAAGGTTTTGATATAACAGTATAAAACTTAGCTCCATTTATTTTATCCAGAAATCTGAGGGTCTGTGGTGTGGTCCTCAGATCTTCCCCGGGACCAAGCCCATGGAAAGAGGTTCTGAGGTGGTTGGAGGTGCCAAAACATGAGCCATGGCTGGGTGCGCCTGGCCCTGCGGACAGCATCCTCCCTTTCACTGAAACCCTTGCAGGTGGGGATTAATTCCTAATTATGACCTGTGGGTGATGGGACGGAGATTGGGCGGCTTGCCAGCCGTCACAGGTCTGGGAAATGAGTGGCAGGATAGTGAAGAGCCAGTTGGGATGGCCCAGGGAGAGCCGGGCCCTGGCCTCGTATGCCCCCTGGTGGAAACACTTCTAATCAACTTGGTGTTTGTGACTCGGCTTGGCTTGGTGCCAGAGCGGCAGCCCTGTTTCTCTGCTGGCTCTGAGCATTGTCCTGTTTCTTAATTATCCCGAGTACTTGCCATAACGGCAGAGGCAGCCTGGAGGACTCAGATGGACACTGGGGATGGCAGTGGGGGAGATCTGGGCAGAGAGCGCTCCATCTGCTTAAACCCCAGCCTTGTCACTTGGGTCATAGCACTGACCTTCCTATTCTTATCTCAGTGGTGACTCGCTTGTCCATGCAGCCACCACTAGCTCATACAAAGGCGCTGATCATCTCCAAGACCCTGGGGCTCTGTTTTCTTTTGGTTCTGCTATACTCTGGAACCTTTTCCTATGCCTAAAGTAGAATAGCTTTAAACAGCTTTTCTTGGGAAGCGGTGGCTCTTATTCATTAGAATTATGCCTCTCAGAAGTAACTCACGTATACATAGGTTTCGTAATTTTTAGTATTTTAAAGGAGTCTTGAGACCAGATTTGAAAACCGCTTATCTAGATATAACATGGACAAAATTAAGATGCCAATTTTTACATTGGCATTTTGATGAACGTTTAGCACTAGAATTGCAAATGGTTTTATTTCATATAAATATTTAATGTGATTGAATTTTTCCCCCCAAATTTCAAAATTCAGTGTTATTTAAATAAATTACCTTTTAAAAATTAAAAAAAAAAGAATAATGCTTCTTTTGCAGGTCTCCAAAACAGACCCATCCCCAAAGAGGGAGGCTCCCACCATGATTCTTTTTAATGTGGTGTTTGCACTGAGGGTGAGTGTTTGTATAAATGGCTGAAAAGCGCGGCGGGTGAGGGAGGAGGGCCGGGGGAGTAGTGGCACAGCTCATTCCGGTGAGTGTGTCGTTGACACAGAGCTTAGACGACAGTGGGCATGGAACTGGTCTACTCTCACGGTTTTCTTCTCTTAAAAAAAAACAAAACATATAACATTGACCGTCTTAACCATGTTAAATTGTGCAGTTTGATGGCATCTAGTAACCGTGTTGTGGAACCATCACCATTATCTAGTTTTCAGAACATTTTTATTGTCCTAAGAGGAGACCATTTATTTTCCTTTCTCTCCTCTGCCCGCTCCCAGGCCCTAGAAACTATCAGTCTGCTTTCTGTCTCTGGGGGTTTACCTGTTCTGCACGTTTTATATGAATGGGAACCTACAATATGTGATCCTGCTGCCGGGCTTCTTGCATTGAGAATAGTGATTTTGAGATTATCCCTTGTCATGTATAGCAGTACTTTATTCCTTTTTATGACCAAATGAAATTCCATTGTATGGATAAGCCACACTCTGTTTATCCATTCATCTGTTGAAGAACATTTGGTTTTTTTCACCTTTTGGCTATTATGAAGAATGCTGTTAAAGACGTCTGTGTACAGATTTTTGTATGGACATAACTTTAATTTCCCTTGGCTATGTATCTAGGATGAGAATTGCTGGGTCATATGATAACTGCTTTTAACATTTGAGGAACTGCCAGAGTGTTCTCCACAGCAGCTTACTATTTTACATTCCCACCAGCAATGTATGAGGGTTCCAAGTTCTTTACATCCTGTCAACACTTACTATTTTCTGTTTTTAAATAATGAAGCCTTATTGTTCTTAAATGTTTCTCAGTGCTGTCTAAAGTTGTATTTTTACAAGTTACAGGAAATTCCTTTTCAGTAAAGCTGTCAAAATATAAGGGATCCAAATAAACATAAAAAGCACCCCTGGATAAGGGCTGGCTTATATTATGAAGGGACTTTGGAATACCTAGGAAATTTATATTCAGTGAGTGTTAAGTAATGGCATTTCTCTGAAATGTCCCAGTATCAGTTTTCATTGAAGAACCCCATAATTCTTTCTGGCTAGGCACGTGATCTGCTTGATGGCTTTTGTGCAGAAATATGAGTAAGAGAGTGCCTGGATTTCAGTGAAAAGGAACAGGGTGTGCTCTGAAAACCTTCAGAGTGGCAGAAATGAGACTGAGTAGAAAGGGAACCTGTAAAATTAGATGCCATTCTAAGTCTCAAGGTGTATTTTTCCATGGTGGCTTTTTTGTTATGGAGATTACAGGTCTCTCTGTCAATGGTTCAAAATCAAAATAATGCTAGAGAAAAACTCTATTAGAATAGAGCCTAATTTTTCAGACTGGCATAGCTTGTTGAAAAGTAAGAAACTACAAATTAGAAGAAAATAATTTTTAGTGGTGGGGGCATGAGGTCCAAAACATCTTTATTTCCTACTTTATACACTTTCATAGTGTTTTCATCCTCACAGTATCCTTCTGTTACTTGTATGATTACATAATATAAAAGCATCCACAAAGAAAACGGGAGTAAAAAAAAACAAGCAGACGAAACCCATGACGAATGCTGCCCGCCTGTCAGCACCGATAGCCCCTGTGGGGTGGGCGGGGAGGAGCAGCCCCACCCCAGACGTTGCGGGCAGGCCCTCCTCTCTGGGCAGCGTGTGATAGCAGAATGTATAGCAGTCAAGAAAACAAGCATATTTTAAAGTTGTGTAAAGATTTTTATAATAATAATTAGGCTGGAAATAATTCTGGTATGTAGTATTGAGGAATGATTGGAAAAGGTTGTAGTTATTATTCACTGGCATGTTTGGGGCCATTAAATGGGGACGATACCAGAACCTGGAGGAGTATCGATTGCTGCCAGGTAAAAGCAGTCGGAAACAAGGTAGTATAGAACTTTAGATAGCACGGGACATTTTAAGTAATGTAAAGAGTTGGTATTTTAGGGTAGACAAGTTTTTTTTCCTCTTCAGTGGTCATATAAAAATGTGTACTTTTTAAAATTTTGAATAGTTTGATAAACCTCTACACCTGTCTCTGAGATCCCATAACTATCCATGGCCTTTACACTCTAGCTCTAGCTACCTCCCCATCGTTGTCACTTAAGTATTTCAAGACAAGCCTAAGACCTCATGTCTGTTCACTTTTACATACCTCAGAAGGTATCACTATGAAACTATGGACATTCATTTTATACCAGAATACCTTTTTCACACCTGAGAAAATTTATCATAAATTGGTATCAACTAGTACATGGTCCTTTCAAACTTTCCCCAGTTGCCACAACATTTTTTCCACTTGGCCTGTCTGAACCAGGATGAAAACCCAGCCCACCCAAGCATGTGGTATTGTGTCTCTAGATGTCCGCCAGTCTAGGACTCTCGCCTCGCTTTGTCCCATCAGATGTTCTGTGTTTGGACTCATCTCATTGTACACAGTCAGACTTGCTCTCTGTCCCTGTATTTCCTGCAAACTGGAAGTTAGTTCTGAAGGCCTGATTACATTTGGATACAAGTTTTGGGGACAAGAAAGTCTCACAGGTGATGCCATAAACTTCAGGCTGCCTCATATCACATGTGGGGAAAATGTGGCATTTCTAAGAGCTCCCACTCAGGGCTGCCGTGTCCTAGGTGGTAGCTCTCTCAGTGTGGCCTCACACAGCCTCAGGCTCTGCAGGCACCTTGAGTAGTGCCTGGCCTGTGCAGCCGAACGGTACACCCCGGCGCACCCAATTCGTGCTGGTCACTGGGCCTCACCTGGGTAAGCACCACCTTGCGTATCTGGGAAAGTGGAACAAACAGGCCCTGAGCATCTGACAGCACTGACATACCCCAGCCAGTGGGCCCTCTTGGAGAGGGCTGGGTTCTCAGGCATGACTTGATTACTTCTTCAAGGGGGTAATCATGTGCCCAGGGTCATTCTCCTACCTCTGCTGTGCTGTGGGAGTATTTTTACACAGATTCTTCTAAAAGTGTTTTTGTTTTGAGGCAATTATATATACCCTATAATCCAGACCCTACAGTTTCGTAATTTTGCAGGGGATACCGTTTAGGGGATGTCCTTGACGTGAAGGGGCAGTGTTGCTGCCCGGCAGTGGGCATGGCACGGGAGCAGCCTTTGGTTCTCTCCCCAGCACAGGTGCGCTGCCAGGTCTAAGTTCTGTTTGTGCACATGAGATCTGCTAGGAGTTTAGAAAATCTCTCCAACTCCAGGTGATGAAAATGTTTACTGTGGACACTTTGTAGGCAGGGCCCTGTCTGACAGACACCCCGGAGAGGGAGGCAGCACCAGGAGTTCTAATCAGTGGCACCATTCGTACCTCTTCCTTTTTCTACCTCCACCCCATGGGATGACTCAGCTGCCCTGGGGGCCTCCTGAAACACTGAGTCACGGTTGGCCTGTTATCTGCTCCATGGGGCATCTTCACAGACCCCACAGCCACCTACTCCACCCTTGGCCTGGCCCAAATGGGGCCCCTGATAGTTTCCAGAGTTAACTCGGGTGTGGAGGGAGCTTGGGGGGAGGGGAGTGGCTGGAGCCTGTCCTCTCCTGTTAGCCAGGGTCATTTCTGCGGGCAAGAGCTGCTTAACCCTGAGGACAGAAAATGTTCAGTGGACAATTAGCCTTGTGTTTCTATTTATTATACTGTGTGTCCCTGTGGTAATAGGGGCTGAGTGACTGAATTCTCGTGTAGCCAGTCTGGTCCATGAGCAGTTAGCAGCACACTGGTGACTTCCAACACTGCCAGGGTTTTTGCTGTAGGTAGGATCTCTTTTGAGCACTTGACATTTCTGATTAATTGGTGAGGGAGGTGCCACTATTGTCCTTTCTCAAATGGGAACCTGTGACCCAGGGTCAAACAGTGGGTAGAGAGGTGTGTACTTTCGACTGCCCCTCTGGCTGCCTCTGCCAGGCCCAGAGTGGATAGATGATCTGTGCCCTCCTTCCTGGGTAGCCCTGGTGTGCGGTGCAGCATGAGAGCCTTTCTCTACTTGTTACAAATGCCCGGTTCCCCACCCGCACACTCTGTGGGTGACCTCACAGAGCCATCTCTGCTGCCATTCAGGCAGCTACCCCTAAGATAGGATGCTGAGTGGACTGGTGTTTGTGGATGGCCCCTGGAGTGGACAGTTAGGCGCAGGAGTGGCACCAGGAGAGGGGCCTAGGCAAAGGGAGTAGAGAAGGATTCTTTCATGGTTTGGGTTTTTCCTTTGTACGTGCACTACCTGAGAGTGTATGTTACATTTGAGTCGTGTGTGGCCTTTCCCACAGGCCAACGCGGACCCCTCGGTGATCAACTGCCTGCACAACCTTTCCCGACGGATCGCCACCGTGCTGCAGCACGAGGAGCGCCGCTGCCAGTACCTCACTCGGGAGGCCAAGCTGATCCTCGCGCTGCAGGATGAGGTGTCCGCTGTGGCCGATGGTGAGTGCGGCGGGCGTGCCTCCTCGCCCAACACCACAGAGCAGGCAGTGTTTCCAGGCAGGATACTGGTCCAGTTTGCAGAGCTACTCAGAGGTTCCATGATCTTCACCCTGGGCTGAGCGTGCCCCCTGTGCAAAGGAAGTCTCCCTGGGGGCATAGCTGTAGACGCGCTTTCCTGGTGTGCTAAAATTGATTTTTTAGTTCGAAACATTCTCCTCCCCGACAAGTGCTGCATGATGACTCTTACTGCAGGTCAGGCTCTGGCTGTTGGCCCTGCGGCTGCTGGGCAGGCTTCCCCGGGGGAGAGGGTGTGAGAGGGGCCAGTGGGAATTTTGAGCTGGCAAGGTGGGTGCTTCCCAGTTCTTTGTTTTCAACTAAATTGAAGGAGGACTTACTAGAATTATAAACTGGTAAGTTATTAGAATATTTTTTACTAATAGATACATTTACCTTGTGGTTTTGGCATATTGTCAGCATTTCAAAGTGCAGAGAGACACCTACCTGTAACAAATCTCTGCCGCCATCTTCTCAGGTCAGCACCTCTGTAGCAAAAGAGAAAACTAGGAACACGTTTGAAGGTGAACCCAGTCTAATTTTAGCAATAAAGAAAAGTAGTGATCACCATACATGAACTATCCCACTCAGGTGCATTTTCAGTAAAAATTTACTTTTTTGTTTGATAATTAGTTGTCAAAAATACTTCTGTTTTGGCCTCTTATGTTCCAATTAATAGCAGTCGAGAAGTTTTATTTTTTAAAACACTTTTTTGAGAGCCTGTGACTTTATTACACAGGAATTAAAAAAAAATTCAGTTTAGTACATATAATTTTTGTTAGATATTTATGAGAAAGGATTAATAAAAATCTTTCAGCCATACAAGTAAGTTGCATTAGCATAAACACATGGCAGAAAGGGTGGGATGAGGCATGGAATTCCATGGTCACTGAGGCAGATGGCCGAGTGGTCTCAGGTCAAGGTCTTCGGGGGCAGCCACTGCAAAAGTTTGTTCGTGTGATGCCTCTGACTGCAGGGTTAGGTGGGGCCAGTGCTGAAGTTTAAATATGAATATTTCATATAAGCACAGTTAAACAAATCAGCCTAAGTCTAATTTTAATTCAGCTGGATACAGAGGTTTTATAAGAAGCAGTTGTGAATATCTTGGTGATTCTTTTTAAAAGGTATTTTCTGTTCTAGCCTGTGTGGGTTTCCTTGCTTTGGAGATTCTAAGTCCTTCTGTGTTGCAACTCTTGCAGCAAATGATGGTCCTCAGTCCCCATTCCATCATATCTTGCCCAAGTGCAAGCTGGCCAGGGACCTGAAGGAAGCTTATGACAGGTAAGACAGGTGGGCAGCACATGCTCCACACATTTCCTTCCTGTGGGCTTTATTTGCCTGAGCCGTGTCTGAAGACGGGGCTCCCTCTGCTCGGTGCTATCCTCCTGTTGTGCAGCTGAAATGGGGGTGAGAGAAGGCAAGAAATGCCAGCCCCTTTGGTGTATGCCTGGCTGGAGGAGTCACCTCCAGACTTCTCTTAGGCCAGAAAATACACCTGAAGTTATACATGAGAACCTGTAAGTGCTTTTGAGTCCTCAGATGCAAGGTGATTTTACTGAGCATGATACAGTGCCCAGTTCTGTTCCACCTTCATTAGGTGGGTGTCATTGTCACCATTTCACCCATGAGGAAACTGAGGCTCAGAGGATGGAGCTGGGATTGACCATGTTCCTCCCTGCCCTTGGGAGACAGTGAGTGTATGAGTGCGGCAGGTGTTGGAGACACAGTGAAACCTCACAGCTGTTGTGGTTATACTTGTGGCTCAGCACCTACTCCCTTAAACATGGACAAGCAAAGAACTGACTTTTTTTTTAAAGGGTGTCTGTATGGCTCTGACCACCACTCCCTGGCCCTGGGTCTGCAGCAGGGAGGTGACCACCACTCCCTGGCCCTGGGTTTGGTGGGGTGAGTGCCCAGGTGACAGCCCACTTGGCGGGTTTATCTTTCCAGCCCTGCCCCTAGCCCATTGCTTCACAGGGTGTCATCACTCACAGCCGAGGGTACCACACAGCACCGGGCAGACGGGCGTAGGTGCAGGCTTTTCTAGTGCCTTGCAGTTCCACTGCCTTTCTGCCTTCTCTTCTTCGTCCCCTCCCTGCCTCTCTTACTTTTCCACATTCTCCTTTGCAAGTGTGTGCAGCTCAGTGCTCCCAGGCCCCACTCCATCCCAGTGGACTCCTCTTCCCACTGGAGATGGTCCTCATCTAAGAGCTGTGGCCGGCCGCTCCACGTGTCATCCAAGCCCAGAGATAGTGGTTTGCCCAGGAGCCTTTCCTTTGTTATGTTAACTTTTCTATTTTATAAACATTATAGACATTTAGGAAATATGAAAAAGTATAAAGAAAATAAAAGTAATCTATAACGTCATACCCAGTGATAATCACTAGGAACATTTTGATAATTTTTTTTTTAACTTGAGTGTTTGAAAAGGTCACATATTCATCAAGTCTGAGCATTAGAGTGCTGAGTTTCTCTCCCGCTGCACTCGCAGCAGGTTCTCATCCTGCTGGCAGGATGCTTTCAGGAAGCAGCCACATGTCATTATGTCTTGGATCCTTCATCACAAATGAGTTTAAGGTGCATACAGGCAAATACGGACCCACTTTCTCCCTTTTACGTCTTCCTTTTACACAGTGGTAGCATCCAGTTAGCCTGATGCCTTCTCGGTTTAACAGTATAACTTAGACTTTTGCCTGTACTGGTAAATAAGGACTTTTTTTTTTTTTTTTTTTTTTTTGGCTGCACAGTTAGTTAACCCTCTCCCTTGGGCGTTTAGTTGGTTTCACCTGTTGTTACTGTAAGACATGCTGCCCAACCATATGCACATGTTATTTTGCATGTGTACCCACATATATAACAAATTTCTTAGAGTGGAATTGCTAGGCCTACTAGGTAAAATGTGTTTCTCTCTGAGGGGTTTGTGCCTCCCACCAGCAGCACGTGAGATGCCTGTCAACACAGTCTGGGTGAACTTCTTGGTTTTAACCAATATACTGGAGAAAGCATGATATCTCAGTACAGCTTATACATGTCTTCACATGTTTAAACCATCCCTGTTCCCTTTTCTGTTAGCTCTGTGCTCAGATCCCTTGCTGGTTTGTTTTTCTCTTGGGAGGTTTAGATACCTTTATAAAGGAGGGAGGGATGGCCTGGCTGGATGGTTCAGTTGTTTGGAGCGTGGTCCTGCTAAGCCAGTATTGTGGGTTTGATCCTCAGTTGTGGCACGTGCAAGATGTCAACCAATGAATGCATAAATGGATGACTCAGGTTGGTGTTTTTTCCTCTCTTTCTCTCTCTTTCTAAAAAAATCAATAAAAAAGGTAAGTTTAAAAAAAAATAAGGGAGGGAGAGTTGTCCTTTGTGAGAACAGCTTGTGTTTCCATTGTCTTTATTTTGGTGACCTCTGGTTGTGTCTCCTGGGTGTTAGAAAAACATCAGGGCAGCTTGAAACAGCCCTTGCTGAGTGATGGTTTTGATTTACTGCCCCTCCTAATCTGGAGAACTTGACCCAGAATGGGATTTTTGGTCTTGTAGTCTGACCCTGTCTTTCAGTCCCATGTGATCATGCTGAGGTTTTTCTCTGGAGTAGAAGAATTGCTGCCTTCTGGTCTTGGGTTGACTGGTACCAGAAATCTCTTCCTTGGAAACATTGCTTTAATCTGAGTGGGGATTTGCATGCCTCAGCTAAGATTACACTTGATCTTAGCCAAAAAGCCAAGAAGCAATCTCATCTAGAATTAGCAAAAATCAGGCTAACCTGTAATTAAAATAAAAAGGAAACTAGAAACAGACTTTATATTTGTAAAGAAAGAACGGACTGTGATTTTTTATTTTTAATTAAAAAAAAATTCTCACCTGAGGACATTTTATTTCGTGAGGAGAGAGAGAGAACAATGATGTGAGAAAGGCACCGATTGGGTGCCTCATTTGCCTTCCGTAGGTGTGACTGAGGATCATACACGTTCTGACTGGGGATCAAACCCACAACCCAGGTATGTGTTCTGACCAGAAGTCAAACCTGCAACCTTTTAGTAACAAGACAACACTCCAGCCAGCTGAGCCATATGGTTCCTGGGCAATTGCTTTTCTTTGAACTGCACTGGGAAGCTGGAGGGATGAGATCCTGAGTTGTGTATCTGAGGGCCTGCTGCAGCTCAGAGCCTGAGGCAGCCAGTGCCCTCTAGTGGGCATCAGTTTAAAGAAGGAGGACAGGAATCAGATTTTGGCAAAAGCAGCTCCGAGGATCTACTGTCCAGCACTTAGTTTCCTTCCTCCACCCCAGGCCGTCTATTGTGACTAGTGCCCAGGTAACCCCCTAAATCACCCTGTTCCCAGACCACACCCTGACCAGTCCTGGGCCTGCCCCCAGGGAAGCCAGGGGCAGTTGTGTTCACCCCTGCACCTGGCACAGCCTGTTCAGCAATGGCTCTATGACCACCAGGAGCCTCCCTGGCCTGTGGCCTGTGGTCTTCCCTCTGACCATATCCAACCAGGTCCATGTTGGCCTCGAGGGTCTCTTCTGGCCTCCCTCTGCTCCTGAAGAATGGACTGTACCTTGGAGCTAAGAAAGGGAGACTGAGTTTCCATTTAATCAAGCAGCATATCACAGATGGCAACTTCCTGACAGATCTCTGGGAAAGATTTTCTCAGAGCAGAAATAAGAGACAGGAAGCTGTGAGACTTAGTGATGTTGGAGTTTGGGGTGGGACTTTTCAAAGGAATTGTTCTGGATTGGGTGTTTAAATTAAAATCCAGCTCTGACTGATGTGGCTCTGTTCGTTGGATGTTGTTCACAAAGTGAAGGGTCACAGGTTTGATTCCCGGTCAGGGCACATGCCTGTGCTGTGGGCCAGGTCCCCGGTTGGGGCATTTCAGAGGTAACTGATAGATGTTTCTCTCATACATCGATGTTTCTTTCCCACTCTTTCATCCTCCCTTCCCCTCTCTAAAAGTAAATAATAAATAAAAATTTAAAAATAAAGTGAAATCCAGGGCTATGGTATGACTGAGTGACCTGTGTCTCAGACCTAAGTGTCTGTGAATGGAGGCTGGCAGTGTGAGTCCCCCAGGAGGCCACCCGGACTGTTCTAGCACTTGTGTCTCCCTGTGGAATTTGGTACCTTCAATGATAGCATCTTACTCATTTGTGTGACTCTCAGGTCATGTCTCCCATGGGGTCAGGAACATCCCTTCACTTTCCATAACGCAGCCCTCGTGCTCGGCATGTGGAGAAGCTCAGGTCGTCCACCAGTAGTTGGAAGGAAGAGTAAATAGGAGTCACGTCAGTGTGGATTCTGTGGGGGTTTGAAGAAGTATCTGTTGACTGGTTCTCCATAGTTAACAGGGCCTGTGGTGGGATCCAGGAGGCTGTCCAGGGCCTGGCTGGGCAGGTCGTGTTAGGTGTGCTGGGGACTTTATGCCTGCTCCTCACTGCCTCACACACTACCTGTCCAGGACACATATGAGCCCGCAGACCCCTCCACGAATATCCTGGGAGTCTTAGTCCCTATTTCCATAAAATGTACCTATATATAAACTTTTGGAGCCTACCCAGATCTCTTGGATGACGTGCAGTGTCCCACTGCATGTAGTAGGAAGCCTGGTTGCATGAGACCAGAGAGACCAGGGTTGGCTTTGAAGGTCTCTGGCCTAGGGCAGAAAGAAAGATGATGAGTGTCATGATTTTTGACACTGCAGGATGTTTCAGTTATTAGCCAAAGGTTAGGAAGTGACATCCTTCTTCAGATTCTGAGATCGGAGAGTGATGGAATAACTTGTACACATGTCTATTTGGGATGTGAAAGATAGGAACATATTTTAGCTCGGTGCACAGCTTTATGCACAGTCATTGCCTCAGGACTGGGGCTGTGGCGGGAGCGTGTATCTCTCATTGCAGACAGGGCTTGGCTCTCCCTTTTGGCCCAGACCTGTGTGAGGGGCTGGATAAGCCTCACATGGGGGTAGTGTTTTTCCTACAGTGTTTCCAAAGAGAAATACAAGCTTAGTAGGAACATTTTAGGGCCCAAACACCCACTTTGCTACTTAGATCTTAAAACTATACTTTACAAACAGGCGCAAACCTTTCTCTTCCTCCTGTTGACCACTTTCAGTGCAGTGCCTACCTAACCTCCTAATATGGGGGGTTTACAGAGCTTCTCTGGGAGCTTGAGGGCCATTCTCCTTCCTCCTATAATGTTCCAGAGTTTTCTAGGATTCTAGGGTCTTCAGCTGGGCGCTTTCAGGATCTCCACACAGTTTGTAGAGAGGCATCAGCCTTGGTGCTCCAGGAGAAGTTGCTGGGAGTTGAGCAGATGCTTGGAACAGTGGAGTAACATCCATATGAAAACCAGAAAATCAACGTGGGTGGGACCCCCCCCCCCCATTAGAAGAGGGCCTCATGCCACTGTACACCAGATGTTGTGACCAGAGCTCTGGGGAGGGCTGACATGTGGAGATGCTGTTCGGGCCTAATTAATTTCCTTTGCGCCCAAATCGGGCACTTGGTGTTGTCTCTCCATGAGGCCCGTCCCAAGCCCCAAACACCTGCTCCCCAAATGCACACCCTGCACCCTCCTCTACTTGTCCCTTTTCCTGTAGCTCTCTTCCATCTTATGTTCCATAAAATTTGGTTTCTCAACACCGCTGAATCATAGCCCCCCAAAGTGTAGTGCTGTAAGTTTTGCCCCAGGAACCTGAATCAGTGCTTGCAGCCTCAGCACATGCCAGGTCATTGGCGACTTGTACATGGCGTTGCTGGGCACCTGGGTGCATCAAAACCAGCTACCACCATGGCTGGTGTGGCTCAGCGGATTGAGCACCAGACTGCGTGACTGCAAACTGAAAGGTTGCCGGTTTGATTCCCTGTCAGGGCACATGCCTGCATTGCAGACCAGGCCCCCAGAGATCGACGCATCTCTCTACATTGATGTTTCTCTCCCTTTCTTCCTCCCTTCCTGTCTCTCTAAAAATAAATAAGTAAAATCTTTTAAAAAAATTTTTAAAAACCCAGCTACTTTAAAAATGGTAGGAATCTTTGTTTAATTCTGATTCTTTGGTATTCAGACAGCTACTCTGAGCAGTATGCTACAGAAGACAACTCAAAAATAGACCTTTATTTTCAATCGACCAGCCTTTCTGATGAGGTATAAAGTGAAACAGAGAAAGAGCCTGGGCGTTTCATTCTTCCCTACGGCCCCTGATTTTCCTTGTTCTTCCCTTTTGTATATCGATGCCGAGGATATAAATATTGTTCATTTACATGGAGCCACTAACATGGGTACCCTCGGCAGCTCTCTAATGGTGTGACCTTTGATTCCTTAAGAGGCCGAGCTGTTTCTCAGGGTTTGATGTCTAGCCAGCAGAGACCTTCAACCATGGAAGGGCAAGACTGTGGGAGCCTTCATCTACTCAGATGTACTTGCTTAGCACTCTGTTCTGGAAGAAGGCAAGAGTGGGGCCCTCCTATGGGACCTTGGGGAAAGGCTGGTCCTCCCCAAATCATGACACTCATCAGACCTATTCATAGGGTTCACCCTGTGGGGCTGTGGCCCCAGTAGCAACCAGACCTTTGCCTTCCAGACTCAGCCACAGCCCCTGAAGCCAGGGGTCCTCCTCTGTGGCATTGAGATCCTTGGAGAGTGGCATGGGCGTTCCCAGTGCCACTGCAGGGCAGGCAGAAGGCGTTTGGGAGCCGTGGAGTAGTTTGTGGTGAGCAAATGGTTGGTATCGGCAGAAACCCCGGGAGTAGTTGAAGTGATAGATGTGCTCTGTGTTCTTCCCACCATTTTATCTCCCCGTTGCCTATTCCCTGCTTGAGAGAATAAAGATTTATTTTTGCATTTGAAACCACTGACCACAGATTCTGCCAGCCCTCCAGTGGACCTGTGGGAAGAAGCTTGCGGTCGTTAATCTGCTGCTTGAGATTTCAGGAGAGACTGTAAGAACAGGCTGTGGGTGTGGGGAGTGAGGGCCATAGGGCTGCTTCCCCAAGGGAAGTTTGAGACTGGGTAAAGCGGCAGCTGCCACCAACCTTCTTCAAGCCCCTGGCCTGCCCCACGCTCAGCCGGATGTGGGCGTCTTGGCCCATCCAGCCAACTGCGAATAGTACATCAGCATTGAAACATGCCGGGAAGAGCGCCACTTCACCTAGCTGGGTCAGGGCTGGCCAGGCCGTCGCAGTGGGCACCGGTGCCCCTCTCATTCACCTGCTAGGGGCACAGCGAGGATCAGCCATGGGGACTTGGCTCAAGCAGTTGCTTCTCCTTCGTGTCAAAACACCAAGTGCTGTTAGCACTTAGTGCAGGGGCTGAGCAGCCAGGCTATGGGCCTGGCTTCTCTGTTGGGAGTTGCAGAAGCTCCTGCTGAAAACAACCGCCTTGTATGTGGGTCCCCAGTGCAGGGAGAACAGGGCCACGTGGAGCTGCCAGGAGCCTGTTCTCTGGGCAAGGGCTTCCTGAGAAGTGGTCCACCAGAGCAGGAAACACATTCCTTGGACCCCTCTCCTTCCTCTATTTATTAGATGCTTCTCAGTGCCTCCCAAGTATCCCTCACTGAACCAGCCATGTGTGAGCAGTGAATGAAACACAGAACCCTACCTTGTGACTGAACTCCGGTCAAGAAAACAGCATTAACCAGCAGACAAGTAGGTGTGTCCTGTGCTCAAGGGCTCAAGACACATGTGAACAGTGAGCAGTCAGATTGCCCGTGGGGCTGGGGCCAGTGTCAGGGTTCACCTCACTGAGAAGGTGGCACTGGAGTTGAATCCTAAAGGAGGGAAGGGGCCCAGGGGACCTGGAGGAAGACTTGTGGTCAAGGGCAAGTACAAGGGCCCTGAGCAGGGTAGCTGGTGTAGCTGGATCTACCTGGGATAGGAAACAAGGTCAATGAAACATGGGCAGATCACATGGGGCTGCGGTCATTTTGGGGTCTTGGCTGGGGCTGCCGAGTTGGGGGCTGTGGGAGAGGGCATGTAGAGGGGGTCAGTGCTGAGAAGATCTGGACTTTAAAGGTCCCTGCAGGTGACACAGACAAGATTTACTCATGGTTTGAGGTGGGACGTGAGAAAAGCAAGGAGTCAGGGACAGTTGCTGTGCTTGGCCTGAGCAAGGGTTCGGCCTGAAAGAACCAAACTGCCATCACTGAGGCTCTTTTGGACAGTTGCTGCGGTGCCCCCGGGGTGCTGCTGGCACCTGCAGGGAGGTGGGCGCTATGTGCTCCTCCCAGACGGGATGTCGTAAGGGATTTGGCACCCCTGACCCTTCCTCTCCTGCCCACTTCTTTTGGGAGCTAGACCCTGCCCTGCCTCACTGCCCACCTTTGATGGGGCCTTCATGAGCTGTGCGGGAGGAGGCATCTGAACACCCCTGGTGCATTTATTCTCTGGGACAGAGATAAAAGAGGCTTCCCTTGAGCCCTTACACTCTGGTTAGAATGCAGAGTCCAGGGCTAGCCAGAAATACAATTTGTGTATGTGTGTGTGCGCGCGTGCGTGCCAGACACATTTTCTTCTCTTCAACATATTGAGGTCCTGAAAGATGCTTTCTTGCATCTTTCTCGACTTACAGTTTACTCTGACCAGCAGGAGCAGTGTACTGGGAAGAAGTACTTTGGGCAGGGTTTTGTGTGATCTGTGTGTCTGGGTAGAAGTTGCTGTGTGAATGGGCGATGGCACTGACAGTAATGAAGTCTGCTGTCTGCAGCTTGTGTACGTCTGGCGTGGTGCGGCTGCACATCAACAGCTGGCTGGAGGTGAGCTTCTGCCTGCCCCACAAGATCCACTACGCGGCCGCAAGCCTCATCCCCCCTGAGGCCATAGAGCGGAGCCTGAAGGCAATTCGGTGAGCGCTGGCCTTGTGCACACTCCCTGCAGGGCCCCTTCTCTTTAGCCTGAGGTTTCACCAGTTATTTTGTTCCAAAAATTATTTTCCTCTTCCTGCCACAGAAATTGGCAGATAGGGCTCTCCTGTTTATAGAAGTAAAAACACATGTTCTTGTGTCTGGCTTTATGGAGCAAATGACCAGCCCCATGTTTTCCCTGGGCCCTCTGGGCACTCTCTGGGTGAATGGGGCTCCATGCTGAGGGCCTCACCTTAGTCCTGTGCACTGTGGGTTCGGCATCCTGGGGAGAAGACGCACCACTGGAAGGACATCACGGTGTTGCTCACTGGTTCCTCCTGCATTTGAATCTGAACTTGCGGGATTTCCCTTTCTTAATTTAACTGATTTCTTGCAAGGAAAGAGCTGAGCCCAATTTCCTCCCACTCCTGTCTCCAACCAAGTCCCCAGTTTCCTTAAGTATTTTTTAGTTAAAAAAAGAAATCTGGGCACATTACAGAAAATTTGAAGATGAGAAAGCAAAGCACTGCCTCATTCTCTCGCCCTCCCCCAATCTGTGCTTCAAGGCAATGTCTTTCCTCCTGGCTTCCTGGCTAGGCATATTTTTATGTAGTTCTATTCATAGCCTCAGCAGCGATTTAACTTTTCCCATATTTGGGATTCTTTCCTTAGGAAAGACTTCATTCATTTTTTTCAATCAACAAATGTTTGCTGGGCAATCCCAGAGGTGGGAGGTAAGGTCGTTGGACCTTCCTCAGTTTTGTTCTAATTATTTTTTTCTTAGAGAGTAATTCTTGCAGATGTTTAAAGGTCCCTGGACATACCACTGCCCTTGTCTCTAATTCCTCCTGTGGTCTCTCCTCTCTGAGGTTCAGTGTCTGTGGGCCCCAGCTGCACCTTTGGTTCCAGGTACGCACCTAGTACAGGGGACCTGTGGCTCACATGTCCTGCTGGCCTGACTCTGCCCCACAGCCCATACCACGCCCTCCTGCTGCTCAGCGACGAGAAGTCCCTGCTGGGTGAGCTCCCGCTCGACTGCTCCCCAGCCCTGGTGCGCGTGATCAAGACCACATCAGCTGTGAAGAACCTGCAGCAGCTGGCCCAGGATGCAGACCTGGCCTTGCTGCAGGTATTGCTCTGGGGTCCTGGGGAGACACCCTGGATGGGGAAGGAGGGGCTGGAGGAGGAGCTGGACACATCATAGCAGGTGACTCCTGGTGGAAGGTGGGAGAAGCCGGGATGTCAGGAAAGCAGGCTGCCTCTGTCCAGATGAGAGCCTTTGACAGGTGGCTCTGAGGTTGGCTGGGGGTTCTGGAATCTGAGTCAAGCCTGGATTCAGGACTGGCTCATGAACTAGCTGCAGGACTGACTTCTTCCTCCTCGGAGTGTGGTGAGGCTGCAGCAGAGAGGAGTGAGGTCCTCTGGTGCTGGGAAGACGGGATGCCAAGGCAGGTGGCTTGCAGGTCTGAAGCAGGGCACACAGTGTGTGGCCACATGAGAAAGCCCTACTGCATCCTCGAAGTCGGGAAAGTGAGAGCAGGACACGGCGTGGGCCTGCTCATCTGCAGAGCCAGGACCTAATCTCGTGTCCTTGACCAGCCCCATGTGTGGATGAGCGTGTGTTCTGTGGGAAGCGCCACCCCCTGCCTGAACCATGTCTTGTGGGCTGCCCTTTCTGAGTGGGTGTAGGGCCCCTCAGCCCTGGCTGTGGTTCTGGTTGGAGCCTGGGAAGGAGTCAGGGGATGAGGAAAAAGCACAGGGAGAAATCGTAGGCCAAGGGTGGGGTGTCTCAGGTTCTGGTGACAGTGGCCACCAGAGGGCAGCAGGGCCTGTCCCAGGGACATGTGATTCCTGCAGAGGCCAATGGGTGGCAGCTCTCCCAGGCTGGGCAGAGGAGGAAGAGGAGCATAGGCAAGAGGCTGGCCCATCTGGGCCCCAGAGAGGCATCAGGGAAGCTTGTCCAGCAAGGCCTGATTCTCAGGCTGTTTTCCCCCCAAAGCAGTCATTTTTACATTCTTGTCATCCAGAATAAGGCCTTCTGTCATCTGTTCCTTACGACCTTTGTTTGCCCCCTGTGAGACCGTTTATTGGATTCTGCCTCGGTGTTTTATACGTCCTGTTTGTCTTCATAGCATCCACAAAACAATGTGCTAACTGTCCTGCAAGTACTACAGAGTTTATGTTCTGACTAGTACTGGTGAAGTGGCAGATACCTGTGGGCCCCTTGTAGCTACCATTTCAGGCTTTGAAAGATGCTGACCCTTCACTGCCCACTGAGGCTGCCCGACATGGAGTCTGTCCGGTTGCCGTGCCTCACCCTGGCCGTCAGTGCCCTTGGACAAAGACGAAGTTCTAATGATGTCTCCTTAGCTTTCCTGCCCTGGCCTTACTGCGGGGAAACTGTTGTTTCTTTGCACTCCTCTGGCCGGCATGGTTGTACAGAAGCTCCCTGAGGCCCAGCTGTGGTGGTGGACCTGCCACCCTCTGGGACTCCTGTTTCCTCCAGCAAGTAGCTCAGTGGAGGTCCCGTGTCAGTGTCAGCTATGAATGTCAGCAGATGATTTTAAATCCCCCATCTGCAAGTAAATGTATTGGGATTTTTTTTGCATGATAGAATTAATGTGTGTTTTTTTTTTAATAAAAGTTCAAATAGTATACAAATTATAGACACAAAAAGAGAAAGCCCCACAATCCCATATCCCAGATGTAACCACTATAGATTTCCTCCAAGTTTTTCTTACAGGTTGACACAGGATCTTTGAGCAACAAAATTAGGGCCACATTGTACATTACTTGCAATTGTAAAGTCGGGAAAGTGAGAGCAGGACACAGTGTGGGCCTGCTCATGTGCAGAGCCAGGACCTAATCTCGCAGTTGGCTGAACGGTGCCCGCAGGCCTCCCCGTCCTAATCCCCAGGACCTAGGAATGTGGCCTTGTGTGGGATTTTGCAGATGTGATTAAGGATCCTGAGGGTAGGGCATTGGTCCTATGTTATCTGGGTGGGCCCAGTGTAGTCACAAGGGCCCTTGTAAGAGGGAGGCAGAGGGAAATTTGTGGGAAAGGAGGTGGGGATGTGACCATGATGTGGCCACCTGCCAAGGAACGCTGCAGCTAGCAGAGGCCGAGAACGGTGGAGAGAGCTGCCCTGCCAACACCTTGACTCCAGCCGTGTGATAGTGATTTTAGATTTCTGGTCTCCAGAATGGTGCTCTGGCTGTAGGAAGAGGCGGGAGGTGGAGACCACTGGGTAAGGGTGGTGGCAGAGGTGAAGGAATGTGGGTGTGTCCTTGCTTTAGAGTGAATATCAATGGGACAAGGGATGAGAGAGGTCAGTGATGGGACTGAAATTTCCATTGTGTTCAAGTTGGTGGTGCCCCTAGATGTCTCATGCTGAAATGAGGTAGAGGTATTCTGTCAGTTTCGCAGGCATTGCATGCAGGTAGCGGTGACTCATCCCCTGGGAAGCACACAGCATTAGGAAAGAAGGGCAGCAGGCTCCCCTGGGGTAGTGCTCACCTAGGGTGGTGCCAAATCAGAAATGCCCAGTGCCTTTCTTTCCATGAAGTGAGGCAGTGCTCTATTCTCAGACCTCGCCTCCCCTTGTGAGGCTCAAAGGGATTTCTGGCATCTTTGTCCGCCTGTGGGCCATCCTGATGTCCACGAGTCCAGAAGAGCTGGGCAATGGGATGTTCTCCAGGATGCTGGGACACACAGGGAGGAGTGCGTGGGGTAGAGGGCATGTCCAGTGACCCATAGTCATTGTCATGTGGAAACCCTTCCCCGTGTTGGAGTCCTGGTGGTGGTGCTGGCGAGCCTGCTTCTGCCAGGATGTCCCATCAAGTCCTTTGCTCGGCTGAGCTGACCCCTTGATCCTGGGTGCCCTAAATGTCCCTATGCTCCTGGGACCTTTCCTTAGTGTCGGCCAGAGCAGTACAGGGCCCTAATGGGGAATTGAAAGTCCCAAACTGTACAGGGAGCAGGATAAAAATGCTTGTCGCTCTGAGCACAGAAAATGCGGTGTGTGCTGGCTGTGCCCAGTACGTTGGAGGAGGTTGGGTAGTCAGGGAAGAAGCCCCAGTGGGTCAGCCTCCCAGGCACTGTCCGGCCGGCCCCCTCTGCCTGCAGGTTTTCCAGCTTGCGGCTCACCTGGTGTACTGGGGCAAGGCCATCATCATCTACCCGCTGTGTGAGAACAACGTCTACATGCTTTCTCCCAATGCCAGCGTATGTTTGTGAGTACCTCTGGCTGCCGAGTCCAAGGCCCCTGAATGGGAAGGGGGTGTGGCTGGCAGGGCCTTCCAGGTGGCGCTCCCCAGGTCAGCCAGGCCTTCACTTGGACCAGACGCCTGGCCTCTGCCTTGCCCAGGTTCCAGCTCTGGCCTGGTCCAGCACCACCTGGCCCTCCTTGGCCTGTGCTTTTCCAGCACCCGCAGCCTCCAAGAGGGGCCTGCGCCTGCCGTTTCTACAGCCAGTGGGCTCTGTACGGGGTGCCCGAGGGGAGGTCAGGAGCCTCGGCTTTGATTTGGGGGTGCCCATGGCTTCTGCCACCTCTTGAGGGAAAGCAACGGGGCTGTGTCCTCATCGTACCCATCCTGACCTACCCTCCGTGCTGCACTTCCCTGCTGCCTACCGCAGGCTCGTGGCAAGGGCACGGGTGCTGCGAATCATGATGGGGAGGTCACGGAGCTCACGGACGCACTTGCCTCACCTGTCCCCAGGTATTCCCCACTGGCTGAGCAGTTCTCCCACCAGTTCCCGTCGCATGACCTGCCATCTGTCCTTGCCAAGTTCTCCTTGCCTGTCTCCTTGTCAGAATTTAGGAACCCCCTCGCTCCCCCTGTGCAAGAGGTGAGTCTCAGGAGCTGGGGGAACCCAGGAACCAGATCCAACGGTTCTCAATAATGTCACACCCTTAATTTTGGTTGGGGGGACAGAAGGGGCTTTACCATGTAGGCGGTCCATGCTGTACCAGGGTAACAGAAAGCTGGCTCCCCAGCCAGGCCACCTGCAGAGGCTTGGCCAGGTACCCAGCACTTGGTCAGTCCCAAGTCCCTCCCCGCCCCCCCCCCCCCCCACCATGGAGCCCACCCTGGCTGCAGGGGGTTGTTGTTAAGGTTAAAACCACACTAAGAGGCCTGGCCAGAAGAGTGCTGATCTTTCCTGGGAGGACAGAGCCACCTGGTGCCCTGTTCTGGGCCTAGATCCCACAGATGGAGGAGGCAGAACTGGTTTTGTTTTCTCTGAGCCTGGGCCCTGTTGACCTTTTCCCTCCCCGTCGTGGTCCAGGTGGTCACTGGGTGTAGGCTCACTGGTACCCAGAATCTCGTCCAGGAGGACATGGAGAGGATGGGTCCGGGCAGAGGGGTGGGCGGAGGGGCTCCAGGGAGGCGGGAGGCATGCGGAATGGTAGGGTGGGTTCGGACTGTGTCTGTGGGAGGGCTGAGTGCACCCTGGATCTTCCTCCCCACTGAACTCCTGGGGCTCTGGGCAGGGACCCAGGCTGGGGCCAGATGGGACAGGTGTCAGAGATGGGGCTGGGTGTTCTTAAGGCTTTGTCTTCAAAAGCAAAGCATTTACTTTAATAAGCAGCAGATCTGTTAGGCAAAACCAGTTTTTAGAAGGCCTTTTCCTTTGTCAGATTGTGAATGAGAAGGCAATCCTGGTTCCTCAGTTCATTTAGATGCTGAGTGAGACAGAGTTCTAAATGCCGTCTTTCATGGAGCCTTTGGTCTCCAGGAACTGTGCCAGGTCATGCCAGCTGAAAGAAAGACACATTTGCATCTGCACCCTCCCCCTCCCTAACAGAAATTTCCTGATCGTCTGGAAGGCGGGTGGATTTTTCAGGCCATGCCTGAGGGGCAGCCTCATGCCTTGTCAGGGGGCCCAGAGAGAGCTGGATTTGGTTCTGCACAGCCCTGGGGTGAGGCTGCCTGCTTCTCATCCCTCCTGCTTCAGGCCTGGAATATGCTCCTCGGTGCTTATGGAGCCTCTGTTTTATTTCTTAATTTAAAGTTATTTTACAATCCTTTTCAGTTTTATTTGGTGTGACCAGGTCATACATGCCCATGATATACCCCTATGTCCATGCGTGGTCAGGCAGCCCCTTCAGGAGGGGACCCTCAAAGATGATCAAGCAGATGTGTGCGCCTGAGAACATGGGCACCATCTGCATGCATTTTCGTGCTCACTGGTGCAGGAGCCCCGCCAGCACAGCGTTCCTCACTGCTCCTAGTCAGGTGCCGGCGCTGTGGGAGAGGAGGGAATGTGCTAGTCCCGTGGGGGAGGGTGGGGAGCACGCAGCCCCAGCAGGGATCCCTGTCCCTGGGCAGGCTTTCAGGTTGACTTGAGGAAGGGACTTCCTACTCTCAGGGCAGCTACCCACAGCTTCTTTCGGAACAGTGTCCAGGCCACAGGGAGAGGGTCCCACAGGCACAGCTCAGCGTGGTGGTGGGGCTCAAGTGGCAGGGCCCAGTGGGCTGAGGAGACAAGGCAGAAGAGGGGCAGCTCGGAGCTGGGAGGGCACCTGGGCCTCCACATCACAGGTCCTGGTCCTCAGCTCTGGGCAAGAAAGGCCAGACACTAGGGCAGCCCAGGTGTGTGGTGGGAGCAAGTGCAGGTATGGCCTCCGCTGCTCTCCCATCCTCACTGCCTTCCCTGGAGGCTCTTAGGCTCGCAGAGTCAGCCAGTGGCTAAGAGCTCCTTCCTGAAGGGGGAGCCACCTTCCTGCTGGAAGTCGGGCCCCTGGAGCTCATGTATCCCTGGATCTCCAGGGTGACTTGTGGGGGTCGTGTCTTAGGCCAAGGCACCCCATTTCTCTGAGGAAGGGAACAGGGCAGTGGTGGGGGCCAGCCGCTCCCAGTGCCCCAGCTCACACTGTCTGTCCTGCAGACGCAGCTCATTCAGATGGTGATATGGATGCTGCAGCACAGGCTCCTGGTCCAGCTGCACACCTACGTTTGCCTGATGGCCTCGCCCAGCCAGGACGAGCCCCGCCTGCGCGAGGAAGAGGTCCCCTTCACTACCAGGGTCGGCGGCCGCAGCCTCAGCACACCCAATGCCCTGAGCTTTGGCTCCCCAAGTAGGAGTCCCCCGCCCAGGGCATCTTTGTGGTGGCAGGGTTGGGGAGTGAGCACCTAGGGGACGCCTGGGAGTGGTGGCCGGGTGGTCCAACAGAGGCATTGCTGGGAATGCCTGAGGAGCCACACATGCACACCTGTACACATACCTGCCTCTCGTGGGCAGCTGGGTCCTCATGCAGACAGCCTTCCTTAAAGGAGCACAAGAGGCCCCCCTCCCCGATTTCCCTGTGCCTTTTTGGCTGTGAGGAGGAGGTTGTACCTTTGGGCTCTTGAGCAGGGGCCTTCGCAGGTCAGGAGCGGCCTGCCCCCAGCCTGCCGTGTTATTCAGCACTGGCAGGACAACTGAAACCTCTGTACCCAGGGCCTGTCAGGGGACAATGACTGTCATGGTCCCTTCTTTAAAGAGCCATTGTGGCCATACCGTGTCTCCAAAGGCAGTAGTGCCTTGCCAAGCTCCAGGTCCCTGGGCTTGGAGAAGAAGGGCTAGAAGGCTTTGTGGGCAGCACCTCCCCAGGCTGAGGCCTGACCTTGGGCTTCAGGCTCAGTGCGAGGAGCTGGCCTGCCCAGGGCTCTTTGTCATTCATATTGGGTGGGAGGGGTGTCCTTGGGAGGCTGGCTGCTCCCTGACCCATGTCCACTCACAGCCAGCAGTGACGATATGACGCTCACTAGCCCCAGTATGGACAACTCCAGCGCAGAGCTTCTCCCCAGTGGGGACTCCCCGCTGAACAAGAGGATGACAGAGAACCTGCTGGCCAGCCTGTCAGAGCATGAGCGGGCAGCCATCCTCAGTGTGCCTGCGGCCCAGAACCCTGAGGACCTCCGCATGTTTGCCAGGTGGGAGCAGGGTGCCTGGAGGGGCTGGGTCCAAGTCCAGGGTCAGGACAGCAAGTGGATGGGGATGTACTCACCAAACCCCAGCTTAAATCCATTGATGACAAATGGCACTCACTGGCTGAGGTGGGGTCTCATGCACTTGGGTGTCCCTACCTCGTCTCTATTTGTGCCAGGCATGAGTTCAGTCTGTTGCTGACTCAGTTGTTGGTGCCTCTGTCTTTGGGAGTATTACTAGTACTTCCTGGGTGTTTCTTGTCACTTCTTAGGAAGTGGCAGCAAGTTCTCATCCTCATGGGGCTTGGCAGAAATTTTTCCGAGCACTCAGCCTGGGGGTAGGGGAATCCTTATCATAGGTGACATAGACTTTGTCGCTCTCACCCCTGACTTGGGAGACACTGTAGGTATATGGTTTTCGGGAATAGGTCAGGCTGACAGGGACTGAGCCCCCAGTGAATAACCACACACCAGGTAGCTTTCAGGCAGCTGGTCCAGATCTCTCTTCAGCCCCAGCCGCAGACACCCCCTGAGCAGTGACCCCATTTGGATGCAGAACCACGGGGGGCTTGCTGCCATAGTAGCATGAAAGAGAAGCCTCTGGCAGACCTGTCCTGTGCTGCCCCGCTCATGTCAGAATGCTGAGGGAGAGTGTGACCTCCAGGCTCTGGCAGGCTCTGGGGTTTGAACAGCCATGTGTCCTCATGGACCCACCTCAGGGGACCATGGTGAGCAATGAGTCCAGGACATTTGCCTGCTCCTATTGGGGGGCAGGGGCATGGGCGTCTGCCTCCCTAGGCCTCTGAGACCCCTGCACCAGCTCTGATTTGGCCTGTGGGCCATTCAGTGGCTGATAGGACAGAGGCCAGCCTGGGCTTTTGCCATCCCTCCCCACCAGGCTCCTGCAGTACTTCCGTGGCCGCCACCACCTAGAGGAGATCATGTACAATGAGAACACAAGGCGCTCCCAGCTGCTCATGCTTTTCGACAAGTTCCGCAGCGTGCTGGTGGTGACCACCCACGAGGACCCAGTCATTGCTGTCTTCCAGGCTTTGCTTACATGAACCTGGGCTGAGGACGCAGAGGCAGGCTGCTGCAGTGGGTGGGGGCACTGGCATCTCCCCACCCCAGGGCTCCTCCCCCCTTGCCTGAGTCCTCAGCCCTGAAGTGTGACTTCAGCCCAGTTCAGCTGCCACACGGGAATGCTACCCTTTGCATTGCCACTCATCTAGTCCTCAAAACAGTCTCAGTGTCTGAGCTGAGAAGGTGAGGCTCTGAGCTGGGGGGAGCAGCGTTCAGGACTCATGCTGAACGAGGCCTGCGTGCTTCCCACACAGATTTGGGTCATGTTTCCTTGACCTTCCTCCCAACCCTGTCTGTGTTCCCTGGCACCCTCCACTGTTGCCCTTCCAAGACTGTGAGAGCCGAGTGCCTGGCCCATCCTGTGCGGCCCAGCACTGTCCCATTCCTCCTCGTTAGCTGCGGGCCTTCCCTGGCTGGGCCCTCACCACAGCCCAATGTTAGCTACCAGGAAGCTCGTGGCCATGCCATCTACCTGCCTTTGCCACCTGAGCCATGAGGGCCTGGGTTGATCCACGGTGCTTACTTGGCTCCCCCCTGGGGGTGGGTCTGCCAGGGTGCTTCCGAGTCCTCTCACAAGAGGGGAGTGCAGGGGGCCTGCAACAGGTCCGAGGAAGGAAGTGTCCGTGCTGGGCCGGGCTCTCTAGGTACCCTGCCACACACAGGGCCCCTGATACTCCCATCCTGGAGGAAGCTGACCATTAAGGAGGGGCTCTGGCTGAGATACAAGCAACACATGTTTTCTAGAAGTGAAGTATTTATTTGGTTTTTAAACAATTAAAAAGTTTGTTCTGAGCAGGCCCTTGCTCAGACCTGTGCGTTCTGCTCAGCTGCTCTGTCTACCACACTGACCCAGGGGCTGCCCTGGATGTAGAACCGCAGGGGCTTCTGGGCCCACTCTCCTGCGTTGCCGATGCCCACTCGGGCTGCCGCCACCACAGCTGGCTCCCTGGGCCACGGTGGGCCACGTTCTAGCCATATGGCCTTGTCCTTGGTGAGGTCGCGTTGGTCAAAGCTCTTGTTGATGGCCAGGGCCTGACAGAGCTTGGAGGGGCCACTGCAGAGCTCACGGTCTTTGAGGGCCCGGCCTGTATTGCTTTTCCGGGAGGTGCTGCGAAGCTGCCGCATGGTCTCTAGGCCCTCCAGGGGCTCCAGGGCTCGCAGCAGGACACATGCCCCGTCCCCTGTGAGACAGACAGTGACTGGCCCTCCCTGCCCTAGTGCACAACCAGTGCTGCAGGGATGACGCAGCTGCCTTCCTTAGCACTCCTATGCTCATTCACTGTGCAGATCCTCTGCCTGTCACTCCCTCCTGCACCTGTACCCGGGGGCCCCCAGGTGAGGCCTCCATGAAGCCAGAAGGCCTAAACACCAGCTATGGAGAACCAGCAAAAATGCTTAGCGAGTGCTTGTAGTTGACCCCCCCCTTGGCTTCTCTGGTTTGGTGGTCAGCAGCAGCTTTGAGGCTGGCAAAGGAAACCCTAGATAGCCAGCTCGCTCTGGGCTCGGTGACCCCTCCAGGAAGCTGGAAGCAGAGAGCTTCAGGGTTGGCCCAGATCCTTGCCGGGCCCCAGAGTCCCCTACCTGCCTCTACCCATTCAGTATCTATTGGGTAAGCCAGAAGGTTGGCTCCGAGCAGCTACCAGTGTTCACAGGATGCTGGGTGAGCCCCACCCCATGACCCAGTGGGGAGACTGACAGGGCAGAAGGAGGTGTCTGCTGATTGTACCCCTCCCCTCCCTTGGGATCCCCTTTGGCCCAGCCCTCCCCCACCAGTCCAGGTTACTTCAAAGGCTAGGCAGCAAACTGATACCTGGGGCCCAAAAAGACACATTTGTCCAAATTCCCTTGGCCCTGCATGGCTAGGGGCAGTGATTACTCGGACCCTGGCCAGAGGCGCCCCAATCCCAGCAAGGCCCCTCTCCTGAGACACCAGCTCTCCCGACCAATGTTGGCCTACCCTTCCACCTGAGAGGCTGACACGCTCAGCCTAAGGGACGGCTGGGCCAGCCCCCACTCTCAGGCCTCGCCATACAGGCCTCATCAGCACCCAGGAGCTGGCCCTGAGTGGACACAGTGGCTGCGCCCTCCTGCACTGCTAGCAGCTGGCAAGTGGGGTTTTTGTGACCAGACACTTTGAACCAGCCAGTTTTCAAAGGACCTCAAGACACCTAAGGTCAAGCAAAGACTTGAAGTTCCAATCGCTCTATAATTCCTGAGCCCTTCCCAACCCACTAGCCTCAGGGTTACCTCCTTGTCCACCTTGAGCCGTGTGAGTTGACAAGTCCCTCACTGTCTCACTAAGCCCCCAAATGGGTGAAAGGAGCAGTGTGCCCCACCCATCACCAATATCCCACGCCTGGAACATACCAGTCCTGCGTCCTGACATAAAACCCCAGTACCCTAGTCCCTTCCTGCTGAGTATCCAGTCTCACCCTACTCCTCTGCCCGCACCACCTGCTTGGTCTCAGCAACCTCACCTCGCTACTCTTCCGGTCCTTTCTGTACTGTCTCCACCCTGCGGGCAGGCAGGCACAGGTGATATACTTCACCTCCCCTCTCCCTTGATGTATCAGGATAACCTTTGGCTTTCGCCCTGACTCTGTACAAATGGGGTTTTCTGCCCCTGCTGAACTAGGTGTTCCTGGGGCATCTTGGTTGTATGTCCAGAAGATAATATGCCACCTCCCACATCTGCGCTGTCTGCCCTCAGAAGCCCTGGCTCCTCCTCCTCACTGACCACGGCCCTAGGCACCTCTGGACTCGGTCCCTCTCCTTATTTGAATTCAGGCCCATTTCACATGAGGTGGTTGGTTTCGTTGCCAAAGAAACGCTCGATGACCAAAATCAGCTCTCCAGGGTGGTAACGGCCCCGTGCGGTGGTCCCCACTATCCCTGATGTTTCCATCCATGCCCTTTCTGTGGCACGGGTTACCCCCACCCTGCCCCTGCAGCTCTGGCATGAATAGCCCCAGCTGTTGTCTCTGGGCAATCACAACTCCGTCACTGAATCATCCAGCAAATGTGTCTGACTTGCAGCATACTCAAACTCACCCCCTCACTGCCCTCAGGCATTTGTCCATCTTGGGACCAGCAAGAGGAGGCTGGGCAGGCAGACAGACAGACAGACAGACAGACACTGGGACTCGCTAGCCAGAGTGGGCTGGGCAGACCCTGCTCCTGGTCAGGCTCTGACAGGTTGATGATACAGGCTCTTCTGAGCACAGACCACCCAGAAGACAGCCGCCTGCTCCCAGAGAACAGAGGCTGCCCCAGACAGGTTCCACATGGCGAGTGGGTTCTCCTGGGAGCTCTAGGCTAGCATCTCCCTCCTGTACTGACATTCGATGTGGATGGTTTTCAGGGAGTGGGGGCATCTCCTGTGCGCTGTGAGCTGCATCCCACCAGTTGTAATGACCAAAAATGCCTCCAAGCATTGCCTGATGTTCCCCAAGGGTGACAGAATCATCCCCAGTTGAGAACAACTGATTCAGCCCCCATAACTGGCACCCTGGCAAGGCTCTTGCCTGAGCCCAACTCAGATTTAACCCTCCTTTTCACACAACTAGCCCCTCCTGAATCTACCCTGGGCCATTGGTACTACCAGCTCTGAGCTCTGGAACTAGTGGCACCTCATAGAACCTGTCTGCTTTGTTTAGGTCAACCCATGACCTCCAATGGGGGCCCCGGCCCCTCTGACCTAGCCTAGCAACGACATGTCCTTGCTCAAGCACCTGCCTCCCCCTGGTCCTCTCGGGTCTCCCAGCTGCCAGCTGAGGGGGCTGTGCCCAGGCCTCCTGCTCCAGCCCCCAGCACCGCTCACCTTGGCTGGAGACATTCATGCAAAAGTACATGCCATAGATGAAGTACACATATAGGGTCCCCGGCGTCATGAACATGCTGCGGTTGCGGGGGGTCTGCCGGCCACCCCTTGAGTGGGCAGCTTCATCCTCTGGCCCCAAGTATGCCTCAGTCTCCACAATGCGGCCACGGAGCTCTGTCCCATCATCGAGTTGCCGGACCAAGACCTGTGGGCAGTCGGTGTCAGCTCAGGGCAGGAAGGAATGGGTCGACTCCACCGGACAGTGCACAGCTGGACCTCGCCTCCCTAGCTCAGGACACACCAGGGCCAGCCAGTTTCCTCCCAATGTTCCCTCTGTCTTGCTGGACCTTGCTCACTAAGTGCCTTGTCCATAGACAACAGCCATTTGAAGCTCTAGCCATTGCTGGGCTGCAAACCAGCACCAGCAAGTTCATGTACTCCATGTCCTCTCAGCAGGGCCCTCCATCACATTGTGCCATTCCCTCCCGCCCCCCGCAAATACCCCTGAACTTCCATGCTTACGCTGAGGCAGGGCAGCATGGAGCACACCCCTATGGTGTCCTCACATGGCTGCCTGGGACATTCCAGAACCTGTGGAATAACCACAAAGCCCTGTCACACTCAGCTCCCCGCTAATAGCTTTGAAAGGCCTTTCTGAGCAGCAACACTGGCTGCCCCCTCGTGCTCCTAGCCTGAACCGTGGCCCGGGGTGCAGCCAGCTCCACAAGGGATGGGGTCAGTGTGCACTGGGCCAGGAAGATCAGCCTAGCTGCGGTTGGCTTGGATAGTACCCTGGGCAGGGGTCTGGCCAGGAGGGGACACAGGGACCAGCTGAGGACAGAGGGCAGTTGCCAGGTGTTGTCACTGGAGGGGCGGGTGCTCTCAGGCCAGCAGAGCACCTAGAGAGCAGCCAGGGGAGCCAGAGAGGGCTTGCAGAGTGCTGAGCAAGCCAGGGAGTCAAATCCTCCCTCACCTGGAGCCTTCCTGCCCTGTGGGGGTGCTTATGTCTTGAATGCATGGCACAGTATAACCCTGGGAATGAAGAGCAGTTAATGCTCAGGGTTCAGAGCCCCAAGCCTGGCTCGACAAGCGTTCACAGTGGAGTTCTGGGGGCAGCCACCTCCTGAGGCATGTTCCCAGCATCTGCCTTGTCCTTAGGCCAGGCCTCCCTGCCTCAGTCCAGGGAGCCCAGGGAGCCTGCAGCCAGGGTCAGTGTCATGGGACTGGGAGGAGCATGCTGAAGCCTGGACACTCAGTGGGGAAGGTCCTGGAGACAGGGTGGAGGAAGGGAGGGAGTCAATGCCTCTCCTGGATGCCCATCTCCAGGCAAGAAAGGGAGGCCCGGTTCCATCGCAGTTGAGACCTCTCTTCCATCTTTCAGATCAAAGAGGAGGTTCATTTATTGGCTCCACTCTTCGTATTTCCACACCTCCAGGAGGCCTACTGGGGGCCAGCTGCCCTTCTGGAGAGGAGCATCTTGCGGCCCTTTTCTCACTCATTTTTTTAATTTGAATTTTCTGCTTTGAATTTCACTCTGATAAAATTTCCAGATAGTAGATATTGGTTGCCTCCCGTGCCCATTACAAAGACATTTCCTTCTTGCTGGTGGAGAGTCCTCGGCAAGGAGAGAAGCGACACGCTTCTCAGACATGAGGGTGACTTGAGAGTGGGCTGGGTGTCATGGCAACTCATTGCTCCCTGAAATGACCCGTAGAGGGGTGACTCGAGCCTGGTGAAGGGGTCGGCAAGGACATCCACTGGGAGGTTGTAAGAGGACAAAGGAACACAGGGTGAAACACCTCCTCCTCTGCTGGATATTGCCCCGCCCACCCTCGGGCTCACATGGGCATGATGGGGGCCTAAAGGGAGACTGGGACACGCCAAGGCCTTTGGGCCTGACTGATCTGATGCTGGGACTCCCTGTGCCATTGTGTGTGAGATCATAAACCCTCATTATCTAGGGTTCTTTCAGAAGAGCCCCTTCGCCCTGGTAGCTGAAAGCATTCTCATAGGAACAGATCTGGTCCTTACCCACTAAGTTCCACTTTAGGTCCAACTCCACTAGCCCACGTTTCAGGGTCTGATCCTTTCAGCACCCACTTCCCGGCACCAATTTTTCACTTAGTCACAGAAACTGATTTTACCTTCACAATTTTAACGTAAAGGTAGCCTCACGAAATGACACAGGATAGCCACGGAAACTCCAAGGGGACCAGAAAAGTAGGCCTAGAGTCTGATACCCAGGAACAACACCCAGATGGTGCTCCAGACAGATGTGGCCAAAACTCCACTGTTGGCACATGGACGCTGCACAATCTCTGCTTCCCAGCCCAGGGCCTGGACCTGCTCTGAGCTACAGGGGCCACTGGGGAGCCAGCACTGGCCCTGTGAGCTGCTGTGCTGAGAAGGAGGCTGTCAAGGCAACCCTGACACCGGGCAGTCCGTAGGCCATGGCTACCCTTCTCATGTGGCTAAAGGCTGTCACCATTGCCATGGCTGGTGTGGCTCCGTTACCCTGTAACCGAAAGGTTGCAGGTTCAATTCCCAGTCCGGGCACATATGTAGGTTGGGGGTTCAGTCCCAGATCTGGGCGTGTGTGGGAGGCACCCAATCGATGCTTCTCTCTTGCACTGATGTTTCTCTTTCTCCCTCTTTCTCTAAAAGCAATGAAAGCTACAGAGGGCACTGTGTCAGGGGACAGGGCAGGCAAAGTGAGCCCCTCACAGACTCGGGGTCCAGTACTTGAAAGAAACCTGCCCTGTGGGCAATACTAGGTGGAGAGGGCTAACGTCCTCAGTGCCCAGAGCAGGCAGGCCAGGCAGGCAGTGGCTCCCCTGCCCCCACCCGGGCAGCCGCCACCAACAACCTCAGCATTCTCTCCAGCTGACCCCGGACGCACCCGCTGCCCCAGATGACTGAGGTGAAGCTATCCAGGAACAAGTACTGACAAAGCCGCTAACTGCGTGAGGACAAGCAGGACCAAGTCAGGGATATGAGCCCGAGGTCTGGGGGCCACACACACTGCTTGGTGATGACCACTTCAGCAGAGGCCACTTCACTAGGTTTACATTACCTGTCCCAGAAATGCCCGGGCTAGGGAGACTGCAGGCTGGTCGAAAAAGTCCAATCCCAGTCGGGCAGGGTGGTTTGAAAAATAGATACTGTACTGGGGGCCCAGGGTCTTGGGCAGACCCAGGCGGGGCTCCTTGGGGGAAGGCGTCTGGGATCCATCTGGTGGGCTCTGATGCTGCTCTGCCTCCAAAGGTCGCTGCTTTTTTTGCCCCAGTTTGCGGGAAAGCTGTAACAGGAAAGAACAAAATAAAGCGTCTGAATAGGAGAGGGCAGATGAAGTCAGCCGGCGGTGAAGTCAGCCTCATAGAGCTTCGGGACTGTATTTGACTGTCTGTCTCAGATTCCTCACCTGCAAAATGAGGGAAACCAATTTGTGCAAACAGAATGCCACATCTGATGCGCCCACCCCCTTGCTGGGCCCCAGCTGGCCTTGGGAAATGAAGGCATGTGAGGGCAAGGTTGGTGGCAGTGGTGACAGGGTGACCACTCTGCTTCACAGGCCTGCCTCATGCAGAAGATGTACAATGCAGTGGCAAAGGGCTGTAGCGCGCAGGGAGGGGACAGTGGGCACAAGAGCCTGGGACAGGAGGGCTGCTATCCTCTGATTCCCATTTATCACAAAGATCCCAAATGAACTGAGCTTGTTTCTGGAACCCTGCCCTTTGCACCTGACCTTACCCAAGAGTTTGGTGGAGGAATGGACAGTGGGACATCCGTGCCCCCACCCCAGCTGACGCACCCACTGTGCCAGGCCCCAACTCAGAACTGCCCAGAAGGTCTGACACACACGGGTGGGTGGACACCTGGCTGACCCTCTGCTTGGCACCATTCCAAGCCCATGACCCACCCAGTGAGTCCCCAGTTGTCCTCTGCCCCATGACCCAAGATGTCAGAATGATAAGGAACCAAGTAGGGCAAAGGTGAGGTCTCCTGAAGGACGAGGAAGACCTGCGGACAACCTGCGCAGTTTCCACCTCCTACCTGCCACAACGCTGCTGCCCTGCCCCCACCCCACCCCCGGAAATCTGAGCACATACCTTTGGCTGTTCTAGGAACAGCTGATCTCCAAAGAGAAAGGGAAAATAAAGGGAGCAGATGAGCATCAGGGCCTGGAAACACCATCCTCAAGGGCTGATCTTCAGCAGTACCCATGTCTCCCTAACATGTGACAGACCCATTATTTTTAACATAAGTGCTGACATTCTGTGTCAAGCGGAGACCGCCAGTCTGCTGAGAATGGACGCTGACGTGACTGTCTTTGCAGTCCAGCCCATCTGCCAATACCTACCATGGGCTCAGACTCTGGGACGCCTTGGCCCCTGCTCTCACCCCGAGTTTGGCCTCTGGCCAGCCTCATGGTACTTGGGTCACTCTGGGTCTCTGCACTGGCCCACCCTGGGTGGTAGGGGTCCCCTGTGGCTGTCCAGGGACTGAGGCTCAGAGAGGCCTTAGCCTCCCCTTATAGACCTAAGGATTCAAAACTGCCTCGGAGGCCTTTGTAGGGATGGTGACGCAGGCTGTATAACCTGAGAGCTGAGGGATGGGGTGGCCCTGCCCTTGCACGGAAGAGTGAGTGCTGCCTCAAACCGTGCACCTGGGCACCTCACATGCATCGCCTGGTCCTGGTTAGAAATAAGGGTTCCCTGGGCGAGAAGCCCCAGAAAATGACTGAAGGATGTCTGCCTCTGTTCCCCCATCTATGGTAAGGGAACCAACAACATCTGCACTTTAAATAAAATGAGTCCAGGAAAGCACTTGCCTGGCATAAAGCAAGCACTCAGTGAATGGAAGTAAGAAACAGTGTCCACCCGGGATACCTCCGGGCAAAACCTGGGGATGAGACTCTTGCCAGGCTGGGAGGGTCTGGCCTAGATGGAGGTCTCCAAGGGACCCACCAGCCCTCCATCAAAACCTGGACAAACAGAGGATTAGTAAATAAAGGGAAACCATTTATCTGGCCGTGACAGACACTAGGGCTAACCGGACGTCAACCCCATGGTCATTTCTGTCGGCAGGCTGGCTCCTTGGAGAGCCGACATTTGAGCTGGGCCTACGTGCCTAGCACTTAACTGGTGTCGGGGTCTCCTCCTAGACCTGCTTGGAGACCTCGGACCGGGCCTCGACTTTACTTCTGGCAAATGGAGCCTAGCCCTGAGTCCGACCCCCCCCGATGGACGCTCGCCTGGGAACCGCAGACCCCGCGCGCACAGTCGTGCCCGCCGTGCGCACGTTACTAGTTTTCCGCGGATTGTGCGACTCCGCGTAAGAGTTTCGCCCTCCGAGACTGATCCTCGCCTTGCGTGGAGCGAGAAGCGGGCTCACCTGGATCCCGCTACGCACGGGCATCCCGCGGCTCAAGCCGGGACTCTTCAGGGACAGAGACCAGCCCAGGTCAGAGCCCACCCAGGAGCCGAAGCCGGAAGCACCGCCCCGGCCGGGAGTGGAGCCGGCGCCTGCGCCTGCGCGGAGGAGGACGGAAGCCTGAGGGGCGGTCTCCCTGTAGGAGGAGGGACCCGGGTGGGACCATGCGGGGGTGGCTGCGGGGGACCCAGGCTCCCGGGAGATCCCCTTGCCAGGCGCCCCACCTCCCGTCCTGGACAAAAGCCCGGGACTGCTGGGGCACTGTAGTGTAAGAAGAGGGAGAAGGCGTCTGAGATTGGGGCGCGACCTGCCTCACCTCGACGCTGCTCCCAGTGACCTGCCTCCGCCCTTCTTGCCCTTTGTTTGGTTCTGCCCACGGTTGTAGAGCCCACTCCAGCACCAGCCAGTGGCCGGACCACCGAGAGGACTGGCCCGTCATGAATCTTGACTGGACCCTCGAGGGTCCCGGGTTGTAGGAGTAGTGCTCTGGGGAAGTGGCCTGCAGACAGCAGGGTCCAATTGGAGGTCACGTGAGGGAGGTGGTGGGAGACCTGGTTCTTGGAGCATGACTTCCGAGACGTCGGAATAAGTCTTTTGGGTGGAGAGGACACGCTCGGCGGGGGAGTGGGCCGGAAAGACTGTGTCTGGGAAGCTGATGCTGGACCATCACAAGCAATCGGGGATGCCGTCTCAGCAGTGGAGCCTGCACCTCTCCCCGAGGATGTTGAGGGGATCCCATCCCTGTCCTGGAGTGGACCTGCTGGATCATGGCCAGCCTCCCCACGAGTCTGAGGCCTGGACTAGGGCTATGGGAATCTGAGCAGAACAGTGAATGCAGACTTGCATGGCAGCAGCTAGGGACAGAATGGGGAATACTGCTGCCCTCCACCTCTGAGGCCCCTTCCCACACCTAGCACCAGCTGCGCACTCTTTTCATAATCTCTCAAGTCGGATTTGTGTCCCCGGGAGGAAGGGAAGGGGAATCTGCGTAGGGCAGTGCCTGGTCCAGAGGAAGGAAGGACTATAGTTAGTTGCTGTTCACGCATTGTGCTGTTTTGGGGAAATAAGGCACACGGGTAGCACCTAACACTCAACAGAGCCACCCCTCCATTCTGTCACTCTAGGGTTTTTCTGGGTCTGCAGGGCCCCTCTGCTGTGGCAGGCACAGCCTCACTCCATATACAACCCACCCCTATCCTGGGAAAACCCTGGCCCTGGGAGGGGGTACTCAAAGGATTGTGTCAAAAGCGGGGGAGGTGGTGCTGGATGGGTCATGTGACTGGGGCCCTCAGATAAGCATGGCACCTGGTCTCAGGGCAAGTCCAGCTGGGAGGACCCTGATCTCCAATTGCTCCTTCTTTTCTGACCAGCCCGGAGGCTGAACTCCTGCCCTCCAGCCTCCCACCCCCCACCCCAGGGCCCCAACCAGGACTTCCTGGGGAGGGAGGGGCAGCAGCCTTCCATCCTGCTGGAAGCCACCCAGCAGTCTGTGGCACTAGTGCTGCTTCCGGGGGTGGGCAATGTGTCATAAACCCATGCTTATAAGGCAGGCCTGGATGTGACTTCCCACCACTTTCTTTCTTTTCCTCCTCAATCCCTGCAGCCATTCTACTTAAACAATGACTCCCCCTTCCAGCTTTCTTGTGTGCCCAGCCCCCATCCCCCCTCCCTTCCTCTTCTCCCTCACTTTGGGAGGGAAACTGAGGCCCCAGTTAGGCTTCATCTCCCTGGTGAGGGCAGGGGCAGGGTGGGTGCTGTTTTGCATTCATTTTAATTTGTATTTCACAAATGGTGCATGGTCCTTATAGAAATCATGGGAATCCACACATTCCCAGAGGCGTGTTTTATCCCTATATCTGGAGGATGAGAAAAGAGAGCAGCCCGGGCCCCCAGGAGGATGAGGCAGGGCCAGCGCCAGCAACCCACTTCTCCAGATGTTTTGGCAGGGACTTGCGCAACCTCTGCAAGGAGGGCTCTCCCTCCGGCCCCCCCCACTTCCTGGTTTGTGGTCTGAGGCCCCACCACAGGCTGGAAGTGGTGGGTTAAGCATTCCCACTGTGGCCTTCAGGGCAGGCTGACTGGGAGTGAGAGAAGGTGGTGCTGGGTGGGAGGAGGGGCCCGGGGCCTTCTCTGTCCCCAGTGTGCCCTGTGCTGGGCTGGAAGAGGCGTGTTGGTGGATATCAGTGGAAGATGGAGGTGAGGACGCCCTCCATACTTTCAAAAGGATCCACGCTGGGGTCAGCAGCTCTGCCCTGCTGGGCCAGCTCAGGGCGTGTGTAAGGGCCATCAGTCACCAGATCCTGGAGAGGAAGGACAGCCGCTCTGTCAGCCACAGAGGCCAGTGTCCTCTCTAAGGTAGGGACATAGGGACAGCTGACACCCTGGAAGGGAGAGCTGATGGGTGGAGGGGTATTGTCAGAGTCTCCTTGGGTAGAGAGGGCAGCTGAAGGAGGTGTATGTGGGCTGCATCCTCCCTTTCTGGGGCTTTGCTGTCACTGCAGCTGGGCCCTGGGCCCAGGTGCTCACTGAACCCCTTGCCATCCCCTGGAGAGGGGCAGCCGCCTCAGAAATAGCCACTGGCTGGCCTGCTCCATTTTGGCCACCTCCCCAAATAGCCAGAGGCTGATCCTGGAGTCATTCAGGGCCCATGGGACTGGCCTGCTGAGCTGAGGGTTCCAGAGTGACGGGCAGGCACTCCTCCTCCCTGGTCAGAGCTCCTAACCCCTCAGGTCCTAGAGTCAAGTGCACATCCAAGGGGATGGTGCAGACATTCACCCATCTCCCGTCATCCACCCACATGCTAGGCAGTTGCAGCTGATTTCCATTTCCTCAGGGCTGGGTGAAGAGGGACTAGAGGCACTGGGAACAGGGTTTTCATGCGGGGGCTTCTCCGCCAGGGCATAGGGCAGTGGGGCAGGCTTGAGGCAGAGCATGTGGGTGCATACATGTGTCCCTGGGGACTAGGTCCAGGCCTGAGCACACCTGTGTTGACCCTTCTCTGCTCACACCATCCTTCTGATGCAAGGGTCCTAGCTCAGGAGGCCAGGGCGGGCAGAGGGCCTGGGAGTCTTGGGTTTGCGTGCCAGGGTGTAGTGGGGCATGCCTGCGAGCAACACCTGTGAGGAGCAAGAGACACTACTGTGGATCCCACTGGAGTCGGGCCCTTTGGAGGTAATCTGAATGAGGGAAAAGCCATTTACCTGTCCCTGGACCCATATAATACCTTCTCTGGGTAGGAAACATAATTTTGGGCAAGGCAGCTCTTATCCACTGAAGGTGACCACGGAGGGGGCTTCTCAGCTGTGAGCCAGCTATAGCTGGTGCTCCTGGCAGCTGTGAATGAACGACTGGGTCATGGAGCGGGTCTGAGCATCCGCTGCGGGAAGGCCTGCCAATGCCAGCTACCCAGCCATGGCATGCTTTGGAGGTGAGCCCAGGCCTTGGCTCCAGGGAGGACACTGCTGCAAGCCCTGTCAGCCCCGTCTGGGCATCCAGGTGGGCAGGGCCTGCTTATGCCTGGCAAGGGTCAAGAATGCTGGGCATGGAGAGACTGTCCTGTCTGGCCGAGCGCCTGGCATGGGAGGGTTGGCATGTGTGGACTGTGGGAGCTCCAGGCATCAGCACTGGGCAACCTCTCTCTTGCCTGTGTCCCCAATGCACCCGTAGTCACCCCCCTCTGCTAGTGAAGGAGTCCCCTCTAGCCATTCCAAAGCTTTGATTATGTCCCTGTGCCTAAGCATCAAGCTGATATACCTGTGTTCATAGAGGACCGGGAACGTGCAGGCACCTCTTTATTCCAAGGTGTGGCCAGGGATACAATCTGAGGGTACTGGCCCTTGCCCAGGCTCGGGGCCAACCTGTAAGTTGGCTGTTACTCACATTGTCAACCTTATTTTCTGTGTAGCCATGGATCAGGTTGTTTTGTGCAGTCAGACATTGGGCATAGCTTGCTAACCATGGCAGCAACACTGTTCAGAGAGGGAGAGCACCATCTGGTTTCAGATCAGCAAAGGGCCTAAGCGCATATTTGTGGGCCGTCCGAGGCCTGAGGAGCTGGACTTCATGTGCCCAAGGTATTCCGATATCTAGCGGAAGGATCCTTGGGAGACCTGTGGTCCCAGTTCTTTTTTTGGAAAAAGATTTCTTTCTTTCTTTCTTTCTTTCCTTCTTTCTTTCTTTCTTTCTTTCTTTCTTTCTTTCTTTCTTTCTTTCTTTCTCTCTTTCTTTCTTTCTTTCTCTCTCTCTCTCTTTCTTTCTTTCTCTCTCTCTTTCTTTCTCTCTCTCTCTCTCTTTCTTTCTCTCTCTCTTTCTTTCTCTCTCTCTTTCTTTCTCTCTCTCTCTCTCTTTCTTTCTTTCTCTCTTTCTCTCTCTCTCTTTCTTTCTTTCTTTCCTTCTTTCTCTCTCTCTCTCTCTCTTTCTTTCTTTCTTTCTTTCCTTCTCTCTCTCTCTCTTTCTTTCTTTCTCTCTCTTTCTTTCTTTCTTTCTTTCTTTCTTTCTTTCTTTCTTTCTTTCCTTCTTTCTCTCTCTCTCTTTCTTTCTTTCTTTCCTTCTTTCTTTCTCTCTCTCTCTTTCTCTTTCTTTCTTTCTTTCTTTCTTTCTTTCTTTCTTTCTTTCTTTCTCTTCTTCCTTTCTTTCTTTCTTTCTTTCTTTCTTTATGAAAGGGAGGGAGAAAGAGAGGGAGAGAAACATTGATCAGTTATCTCCTGTACATACCCAGGACTGGGCCTGCAACCCAGGCATGTGCCCTGACTGGGAATGGAATCGGCAGCCTTTTGTTTGCGGGAAGATGCCCAACCAATTGAGCCACACTGATCAGGACTGCCCAGTTTTTCTCTGGGAAAAAGGGAGACCATTGTATCAACTATGCAAGGGAGGCTTGGGCCCCTCCACTCCTCGCAGCTCCTGCTTGTACCCTGCTATTTGCACCCCTCCCCATTTCCCCAGGTCTTTCTCTGGGAGGCTAGGCCTCACCTGCTCCTTCAATGTCAGGAGAGAGGAATGCTGGGAAACTCCCACCAGCAGCCTCAGCCTCAGCCTCAGCCTCAGCGTCCCTCCGGAGCAGAGGGGCCATTTTGTGTCCAACTTAGA